TTTTTTTTTTTTTTTTTTTTTTTTTTTTTTTTTTTTTTTTTTTTTTTTGTGTGTGTGTGTGTGTGTGTGTGTGTGTGTGTGTTGGGAGGGAGGGGAAAGGGAGGGGAAAGGGAGGGGGAAATTTCAACCAAATAGAATCCTACCAAAGTGTTAATTTCAACAGTCTTCCACCTTTATATATGTATGTCTCACAGAACTCTATTTCCAACTGCAACAATGATAAGACAGCAAGGATATTAAAGTATATTTTGAAAGACAGCTAGAACCCAATTATCTGTCTATCATGACACCCATACCACTACAAACAGCACCGACTAGTTTAAAAACAACTTGTATGGCATTTTCAAGGATGAACAACATTAACTGTTAAAAATAGAGTAAAATAGGTGAATAACATGACTGGCCCATGCAAGCAGCTTTCAAAACAAACCTTGTATACTCATCCTTACCATACACTGCCTTTCACTGCACACCCATTAAAAAATATCAACAGCTTTTTTTTCAGAATTCATTTACAATTTGCTAATTTTTTAATGTCACAACAAAACTTAAAATTTGCCATATCCGTCCCTCACTGATCTCTTTGTGTAAAATGGATCCTAAATTAAGTGAATCACATCCTGTTATGATGCATTTGAGTATAAAAACGAGTACCGTTTTATTATTTTTGAGTGAAAACATAAGTGTACTCTAAATTTCAGTCTTTGTTAAACAAAATTCTACTTCGGACTTCGCCTGTTATTATTCTATCTATCGCACGAGGCAAGAGAATAAAGACTGATGTGTCTATATTTAATCATCTTTGTTTGACTGTGTTATAGTTATCTAGTATGCGGGCACGTGAGTCTGAAGACAAAGGAGCAAAGATACTGTGCACACTCCATGAGTTAAATCCAAATATCCTCAAGGATATTCGGCCAGTAAGTACTGTGTATGTTTTTTTCGGGACTAAAATTATACAGCATTATCCTAATTGATTACCCAAAGCATTGTACTCTAATTAAACATATGTGATAGGTCCCCCAGGAATAAAAATCTACGGCTAGGCACTGCTAAGCCTCCGTGCCAGGACAAATCTCGAACGACAACAAAAGCGTCAAAATATCCGTCCCGTAGCGTGACCCCCTTCAACTTACCTCAGACTTCGTTTTCACGTGGTTTGAGTGGTGATTTGTGAAATGACCGTTGTGACTGTGGTGGTTCATGGTCCCAATCTATGATCTAGCCAAATTCCATCGAAAACAGCTGAAAAATCTAATGCAGCAATGAAAATAAAAACACCAAGGATTAAGCCCAGAGTAGTTTGTCAGGCGTGTTGTGATTGGCCTGTGATGACGCCGTCCGAAACGAGACTTGCGTATCTCTTTGATATTCTGTCAATAATAAAGGTGCAATTTATTTAATATATAGAAACCTATAACGATATCAATTCCTATGTAGATTGATTTAGATCAAAATATTCCACTAATACCCTAAGCAAGTTAACAGAGTTAATTGGCAGGATGGAAAACATCCAATCACATGCACCCTTTTATCTGCCATGACTTCATGTTTGTTTTGATTTTGACACATGACGTCATAGTTCGGGAAATTCGCACGTGATAAGGAATGTAACTTTAACATTATGCTTACAACTGTTTTTCACGTAATTATTCAAAGAAATTGTTTTTCAAACAAATGAATAATAAATTCAAGAACTAAGCATTCCAGAAGAAAATAAATCTAGGCACTTTTCATGCGCACTGGTGTAATTTTAACTTTCCGATTTATATTTCAGATAAAATATCACAGTTCTAACATGATCCTTCCCTCTACTGGTACCAAAGCCGCAGATTATTATTACTCTGTACACTTTTTCCTAAAGCTGGGCAGTGCAGAAAAGTCCCATAATATAACAAAAGACATATCTGTGAACATCTAGGGAAATATCAATCTGTGGCCTTGGTAGAGGGGAGCTTGACCCCTCGAACATATTTTGTAGTATTAGTTGAAACAAAAATCATGCATGAAATGCATCAGAATCGGACAGTTGAAAAAAAAGCTCTTTTACGTTGAGATATTGATAACATTTGATAAAAACTGACATTTTTTAATTTCATAAGAAAAAAACAAGAGTTAATCATTTTTATCATCATCTTAAAAATGCAAATAACAGAATTTCTGATAGCAAAAAATAAAATAAATAAATAAATAAAAAGGAAAACAAAGTTTATGTGAAGAATTTTATGTTTAATATCCTCATATCTTTTAAAATGTATACATTCTTTTTACACATCTCTAAAATACAAGTATTGCCATACATATCAATAAATAACACAGTCAAAGACGTCACAATTGAAAAGACAATCTTAACACTCAGTGTAAATGAACCAACATCACTGGGATGAAAAATGTAAATCCAATTTTCATTTAAATAACATATCTAGTGTACATTTGTTCGCTCGTAATAATTTACCTCGTGCACAGTCTCATGATTTCTAAAGTACAATAATCTCAATGATTGTTTCCTGTTCGTGTAACGTGTAATAAATGATACAGATGTTATAGCTTTATGTCAAATGCCAGAAGAGCCTTGTCAACATTTTCTATTTTACAGGGGATTTTGTTGGTACCATTTAAGTTTGGAATGACCAAACAAAGATATACCATTCTAAGACTAAAGAATTAGAGCTGGCAAAAGGAAATTGTGCCCCGTTGCTATTGGTAACTGGTAAGTGGAAATGATACTGATTTGTGCCTCGGACTTTGTGTAGTTTGACCAGGAACTAGTAGTGTTAAGAATGAAGCTGGTGCACTATTGCATTGGTGAAGTCAGACATAGTGGAGAACCCATTCATGTCTGGAGTCAGCACCTGGAAATAAGATATATCTTTTAATTTTAATGAAAATTTAGACATAAAAAAACAAAATTCAATAACAAGTTTTAGTTTATTTACTTTAAGACAAAAACAGTAACACCTGGAAATAAGACAAATGATTCAAATAAAATGAATTTTATTAAAAAATTAAGCTGTTCAAAACAGCACTCCCCATTTTAACAATTTTTGAGACAGAATATGCAAAATAGCACAGTGTCATCAGTATTATAATAGTGCATTTTATATCAGTCAAATTTTTACAATTTAACATATTTATGATGACTGGTAGATCAGTTTACAGTGTGCTTTCTTTACAGGAAGCTAAATGAAACCCTTTATTAACAAAACAAAATAAATGTACAAATAATGTGGTCTAAATTCCTTGTGACAGAAACTAAGATGATGCCTCACCTTGCCAGCTTTGATCACTCTGAGTAAGGCATCTTCAATCAGTTTACTGTGGTACTCCAAATGCATGTGTTTCAGCATGTTACAGGCACTGAGAATCATGGCCGTAGGGTTGGCAATGTCCCGCCCCATTGCCTGGGCAAATGAGTGGCGAGCACCCTGGAATATACACAGCAGATATGATATGGATTTTTTTAATATTTTCTAAACATTTATCATTGGACAAAACACTTAATTCAATGGGGAGGTCCAGGGCCATCATAAGTCCTATCAAAATTGTATTAAGAATCTTGGAATTCTGTTATTCTGTGGAAAAAGTGCACATCTGTTTGGGGCAGGCAAGTTCATCAGGTGTTAACTTGGTGAGATGAATGTTGTTCAGGAGCACACTGCATTTCTCCTGAAGTTGATTACCTGTGCATAATTTATGTAATTAATGTACACTTTTTCACTTATTAATAAATGTTTGTTGCATGCATAAATTATTAATTTCCACTCACTCAGTAACATAATTCTACAAATAACATACTTCCATTAAAAAAAACTACAACAAGAACAAAATTGTTACCAGGACTGATGACAAATTATACATGACCCATGAAAATTATATTTACAAATAATTCTACTGGGGTAAAAGACTAATTTAAACTTATCTAAAGCATAAGTCTGTAACCACAAACTGTAGCACTTACAGGCTGGAACACTGCCACATCTTGGCTGTAGCTCTCACCAGCCACCACACCAGCGCCACCTACCAGTCCCGCAGCCAAATTATCTACTATGTTGCCATAGAGATTTGGCATCACCATCACATCGAACTGATAGGGGTTAGAAACCAGCTGAAATAGAAAGGAGGCTCTAAAATCTTCACACTTTCACAGAAAGTATATTTTACCAAGACTAAATTGAACATTTCTCTCCTAACTACCTTTAGATTCCTCTTATTGTTTTATTTTTATTTTTTTCAACAGACCATAATTATTCTGACCGAAATAATCATTCACAATTATGTTTGTCAAAACTGACATTGCCTGGTATTCTAATATATATATAAACATTTCATAATGTTAGTGCATTCTCACCTGCATGCAACAGTTGTCAATGATCATGGATTCAAACTGAATCTTAGGATATAATTCTGAGATTTCTTGACAGCATTCTAGGAAAAGGCCATCACCAAGTTTCCTGGAAATAAATGACATCTTACTAGTAAAGACTATCACCTTCATGAAATATCTACATTACATGTTATTTCAGATTTTTCTATCTAAAAATTGACATGTGAATGTTACAGAAAAAAAAACTTCTCTATCTGCATCAAAAAGCAAAGTACTAAAATGTATTGGAAAGTGTGTGTGTGTGTGTGTGTGTGTGTGTGTGTGTGTGCGCGCGCGCGCATGCTTGAACGTGTATGTATGAGAGAAAGTGCAATAACTGTGCTGTTACTATTAAACAACCTTACTTCATATAAGTAACAAAATTGTTAAATTCTCTTCTGAGGCAACATATTTATGACACTGCTATACATGAAACAAGCATGACAAGGAACAGGAGAAATATTTACATAATATTTGCCTTGTGTACAGCTGTGACCTTGGACCTGCCATGTTTTGTGGCATAATCAAATGCAAACTTGGCAATTCTTCTGGACTTCTCTCTGGTGATGATCTTCAGGCTCTCCACCACCCCAGACACACTCTGAAAGTAGGGAAAACTATCAACAATCTTTGCCAATCTTCAGGACACTTTCTGGGGAACGCTAAGAAAAATGACCTATAAGCTGATAGAACATAATTTTGGTATTTAAATGCAAAATATGATCCACTTAAGGTATTTGGACTAATGCTGTATATAAATTGACAGCATGCTCTAATAGGGGAAAAATGACAGTGGCAAAAATGATTCACATATTCTAACACAGCTGGCATGAAATGGGTTGAATAGAATCTAGTCTCATGTTATTAATGGACTTGAACAAATATAAACAAGCATGAGGGTTAGTCATGCCAGTCTCTTCTGATTGTGTTAATTGATACAGCACAATCTCACCTCATGTTCCAGTGCGCTGTACTCTCCCTCTGTCTGTTCTCTTATGATGAGGAAGTCTAGGTTATTGTGCCTTGTCCTCACCCCAGGGAGACTCTTCACATGAACAACATTGGCATACAAGTCCATTTCCTTCCTGAAATACATTGTGGCTAGACCAGTACATTGTGACAATTGTGTTAGGTGTGGCAATTGTGTTGGTTGAGATTGTGATATCACAATCAGCCCATTGCCCTGGCTGAAATACTAGACGATAGGCTAATACATGTAGACTACACCAGCACAGAGGTATACTCTTATAGAAATTTTAATTGTACTGTATATGCAATCATGTTAAACAAACTGGGTTTGAAATAAGCACATATATGTTAGTTTTGTTAATAATATACCACTGTCCCTACCTCAGCCTCATGTTAAGAGTCTGCAGCACTCCGCCCTTGAAGTGGGTGGGCGTGGCTATGATGCCCTTTAAACCAACACCATTGGTCAAGAAAGAGTTGATGACATCATCGTGCTTGGCATTCATCTTGGGGTTGACTTCACTATGTCAAGAAAAGCAAAATGCTGATTTTAGTATGTCAGTGTTATGTCATTCAGTAGGACAGTGTATGAGAGATGAAATAACAGTGATAAAGATATTGGACTTTTACTGCCTGTCATATGTACTGGTAAGGTATCAGTTGGTCATGTCTTGGTCAATGCCCAATGAAAGTAGATGAATGGAAAGTGTTGTGTTGAAATGACATTCTTGATCTGATGGATGTTACCCCTTTCTCTGGCAATCGCCATTGCATGAGGTATGACATAAAACATGATCAATTTAGTTTGACTAGTGAAAACTATACATCTGTGTATAATCCATCTATAATAACCGTCCAAATGCACAAATGTTGCAACCTTACAACAGGGTTGCAATGTATCACATTAATAGTATATATAAAAGAATATTTTGTGACTAGAAATTGTGACTGAGGCTCAGCTGCTCTGGTTGCAAACCTCACACTCTACCTGATGTGAAACTCCTCAAACTCCACAGGTACTCCAGCGTCAGTGAAGACTGCCTGTACGCTGGACATTATCTCGGGACCCACGCCATCCCCCGGTACCAGAGTGACCCTTTGTTTACCCTCAGGATGACTTACTGGCTCTGACCTAGGCTGAAATGAGATTTTGTGTGAATAATTGTACAGTATAACAGTTTATAGTATTATATAAGAAGTATAACAATCAGACATGACTATTATATATGTTCTTGACTGAAATTAGATGATAAAATCATTACTGACTTAGTTAAACATGTGCTGAATCTTTTTTTTAAATTGATTTATTTATATATTTATAACTTTTTTTTTACAGTAAGTACATCTGTCTGACATTTGTGCTGTGTATGCCAGCTGTACTTTGGTCACAACTTTCCTATCCAAGTCAGTAATTGTAACCATAATTGACAAACTTACTGTTATGGCCATACGTGCCACTGTTGATGAATGGAGGCATCTTTTCAGCAGTTGGTGTGTCAGCTGAAACAGAAATACAAGTGGTGTCATCAAAATCATATGCAAATATTGTATTGAAACAAAATCAAACTTTACTGGGAGTGAAAACGCTAAACTGGTGTATATAACAGATGCATAAATATCTTGTAGAACAAAACTCGTCCTCCATCTAGAAGATTAATTTTAGAGTGACTGCAGTGAAGTCTTTCCTTGTACCAGTATGGCTGTCACTACTGGGTAACCGAGAGTGAATAAATAAAAAAATTATTTAGTTTATGTCAGGATTTACGAGTGTTCAATGTAAATATGATGGCTGTCTCCCAGTTAAGCTAATCAAATGATAAAGAAATAAATAAAAACAGAATTTTCATTTTTTTACATAAATGCTACGTTCGAAGCCTAATTTGAGAAAACCTATAAAGTAGCTTCATGTGTCCTTAGGCTCTATTCCCATAGATTTTAGATAGATCTATCCCCGCGGGAGTCTCACTAGATTACTTTCAGATAATCCGACTTAAATGTCCGTCCCGCCTGCTACAAGCTGTAAGAGGGTAATTAACTTACGTGTCCGCCCGGCTGACAGCTATTTAGCGTGAACCCCCAGGGAGTTAGGTCGATCTAAACTATGGAAATGAGGTGTTACTACCAGCACCAGTGGCTGATTCAATCATCAATTGATCTACTCAGCGTCAAAATGTAACGTTACAATTTTCACTGCTGATTTAATGGAGATCGCAAAATAATTTATCACTAAGGTCCCTTCTAAGTTACATTATACTAAACATTAACCGCACTCCATTAAACTATCGATAAATATACTTTAATTAATGACTTTTTCTCACTTTTGACACACCACGGCTTCTAAAGATCCTCATGGCACTCTCCATGTTTACAGTGACGTCACAATAGTTCAAGGTCAGTCATACAGCTGGTTCCCGGATTCATCGGTACTGGTAAATGAAACAAGGCAGCAAAGCTGTCAAATGTACAGACAAAAAACAGAAAATAAAGATGCAAAATGGGTCATTTTGTCAATTTTGATGCAATAATAAATAATGCTTATAATAGCACTGTCAAACAACACTGAATTTTAATCATGCACAACAGGTAACATGGTCAATAACAGGAGCAGATCCAGAGATATTTTCTGACAGTATTCCAAAGTATCTTTGTTGATCCATCCTCCACTTTTGATGGTTTTCCAACAGAAAAAAAATTGATACCAGTCAATGTAAACTTTAAAATCTAACTGTCATCTGAAAGCCCCNCTCCATCTAGAAGATTAATTTTAGAGTGACTGCAGTGAAGTCTTTCCTTGTACCAGTATGGCTGTCACTACTGGGTAACCGAGAGTGAATAAATAAAAAAATTATTTAGTTTATGTCAGGATTTACGAGTGTTCAATGTAAATATGATGGCTGTCTCCCAGTTAAGCTAATCAAATGATAAAGAAATAAATAAAAACAGAATTTTCATTTTTTTACATAAATGCTACGTTCGAAGCCTAATTTGAGAAAACCTATAAAGTAGCTTCATGTGTCCTTAGGCTCTATTCCCATAGATTTAAGATCGATCTATCCCCGCGGGGAGTCTCACTAGATTACTTTCAGATAATCCGACTTAAATGTCCGTCCCGCCTACTACAAGCTGTAAGAGGGTAATTAACTTACGTGTCCGCCCGGCTGACAGCTATTTAGCGTGAACCCCCAGGGAGTTAGGTCGATCTAAACTATGGAAATGGGGTGTTACTACCAGCACCAGTGGCTGATTCAATCATCAACTGATCTACTCACCTCAGCGTCAAAATGTAACGTTACAATTTTCACTACTGATTTAATGGAGATCGCAAAATAATTTATCACTAAGGTCCCTTCTAAGTTACATTATACTAAACATAAACCGCACTCCATTAAACTATCGATAAATATACTTTAATTAATGACTTTTTCTCACTTTTGACACACCACGGCTTCTAAAGATCCTCATGGCACTCTCCATGTTTACAGTGACGTCACAATAGTTCAAGGTCAGTCATACAGCTGGTTCCCGGATTCATCGGTACTGGTAAATGAAAAAAGTGTAATTTCCAAGTAGTATTGTTCTCTGATTTTTAAACAAACCGAATATACTACAAGATTTATATTACGCTAATTTTTATTTATTTATTTATTTATTTATTTATTTATTTATCAAATGCAAATTTATTGCTGATTGAAACGAGGCAAACCTGTCAAATAAATAAAGAAAAAAATAAATACATGTAGGCCCCTACATTAAATTTACGATATAGGGGCATTTCATGCCTTATCTGATCATCCAGATACATGTTGCCGAATTACTTGAATCACGTGCACTTTTTATCATGATTCGAAAGTTGTTTTAATCCCTGCAAGATGGCCTTGATGACTTTTTCATATAAACTGGTATAGAGATAGATAAGTTATTGCCCTGATTTTTGTCATGTGCATTGTTTAGGCAACGTACGTGCTTTGTCAAATTTGATAGGCCCTATACTGTTAACTTTCCTTTATTTACGTGGATATGAGACGAATACATTTCTAGACCTACCTGTCACTATAACAGGGTTTAATTTTTGCAGCTGTGTTCTTCCTGAACATTTTTGAAAAAATTATTTCTTCAATAGGAATCAAATTACTAACGCCTGTGTATGCAACCTCTACTACCGAAAAGAAGAAAAGTAAAACATTGCATAAATTAAACATATTATTTAAAACTAAGAATACAATCCCCAACCAGAATTTAAAAGTTACTAGCAAATATATATAGGTCCTAAACATTTTTTGTTAAAATATTTTACTGAATGAATGTAGAACCTAAAGTTAACAAGAGCCAATCTAATAAAAAAGTCACTTATTTTTAGATTAGACCCTATATTTTATTAAAGAGATTTTGGTGTTTTTGATTTGACAAAATGTTTTCATTGGAGAAGATTTTGTCCAAATTTCCGAAGATGTTTCGCTAAAGTTTAATTTACCAGTGTTATATACTAGTTAAAAACTCAATGGATATCGATCAATGTTTTCAGATGCCTTACACGTCCTAGAAGAATAATTGTGAAAATCACCCGAAAGAAGCAGATTTGATAGTATTCATTTTTGGCCCTATGAAATGCACTTAAGAAGTGCATTTACGTAAGAAAGTTAAAAAAGCAAAGCAGGTGAATGCATGCATGCCCATATGGGTGGGGAAAGGAGACTTTAACCTCCTTTTTTGTCAAAATAAGCCAGCTAAAAATAATAATTTGAGCTATAGGTTCTATATATATATAATATGATTAAAGGCAGGTCAAGGAGGGGGTGGGGGTTCGCCTTTTCGGACAAAAAAGACCCCCTCTCCTTTAAAACTGCTGTTATAACAAATAGTAAAATTGGGCCAGTGAGTTAATGCCCTAACCTTAAGGGGCATATCCCCACTTGTACACTAATTGTATGCAGGTAGAGTCTCGTGACGTCTATTGACCTTTATACAGTGTAATGTAAACAACGATAAGGTAGGATAAGGTATGGCGGACCGAAGGAATTGGGTGTCGAAGGAAGTAGCAGACGACCGCGGGGATCAATGATTAACCGAGTCCATATGAAATGACAGAAATGGAAGATGATGCCCGAACAGACAAAGATGTTCTTCTGGGGGCTTCGTCCGGGGATTCGTTCTTTCGTGGCGGGCAGTACGGCTCGATACAATCTGACGGTAAACCGCAGGAATATGAGACGTATACCCGGCGCTGGTATATCCTGATACTTTTCTCGCTGTTTGCGACGCTGCAAGGGGCGTCCTGGAATGCGTTTGGCCCGATTGAGGCGTCCTGCAAGGCGGCTTTTGGTTGGAATAACGCTCAGATCGCCTTAATTCCTATGTGGGGGAACGTGGCGTTCGCTTTGACGGCGATACTGGGGTCCTGNTAAATTCCACAAATATGGCCCGATCATGCTGATTTTCGAACTTGACCTGCGTATTATGAATATTCATCAGTTTTGTAAGTTTCAAGCCAAAAGGTAAAACGGTTTTTCACTTATCGTGTTATCGGTGTTGCATTTATGCTGAAAAAAGTGAAAAAACAGCATAACTTCCCTAAAAGTGACCCGATCATGCTGATTTTCGAACTTTACCTGCATATTATAAATATTTATCAATTCTGTAAGTTTCAAGCTGAAATGAAAAACAGTTTTCCACTTATTGTGTTATCGGTAAAAGTGCACGGCGACGACGACGGCGACGACGGCGACGACGACAGACGCAGATGACGGCTATATGTACAGACACATCTGTGTCTGTACATAAAAAGCGTAATTTCCAAGTAGTATTGTTCTCTGATTTTTAAACAAACCGAATACACTACAATATTTATATTACGCTAATTTTTATTTATTTATTTATTTATTTATTTATTTATTTATTTATTTATTTATTTATCAAATGCAAATTTATTGCTGATTGAAACGAGGCAAACCTGTCAGATAAATAAAGAAAAAAAATAAATACATGTAGGCCTACATTAAATTTACGATATAGGGGCATTTCATGCCTTATCTGATCATCCAGGTACATGTTGCCGAATTGCTTGAATCACGTGCACTTTTTATCATGATTCGAAAGTTGTTTTAATCCCTGCAAGATGGCCTTGATGACTTTTTCATATAAACTGGTATAGAGATAGATAAGTTATTGCCCTGATTTTTGTCATGTGCATTGTTTAGGCAACGTACGTGCTTTGTCAAATTTGATAGGCCCTATACTGTTAACTTTCCTTTATTTACGCGGATATGAGGCTTAACCACGAATACATTTGTATACCTACCCAGTACCTGTCACTATTACAGGGTTTAAGTTTTGCAGCTGTACGTGTTCTTCCTGAAATTTAACATTTTTGAAAAAAATTATTTCTTCAATAGGAATCAAATTACTAACGCCTGTGTATGCAACCTCTACTACCGAAAAGATGAAAAGTAAAACATTGCATAAATTAAACATATTATTTAAAACTTAGAATACAATCCCCAACCAGATTTTAAAAGTTACTAGCAAATACCCCTGTATATATAGGTCCTAAACATTTTTTGTTAAAATATTTTACTGAATGAATGTAGAACCTAAAGTTAACAAGAGCCAATCTAATAAAAAAAGCCACTTATTTTTAGATTAGACCCTATATTTTATTAAAGAGATTTTGGTGTTTTTGATTTGACAAAATGTTTTCATTGGAGAAGATTTTGTCCAAATTTCCGAAGATGTTTCGCTAAAGTTTAATTTACCAGTGTTATATACTAGTTAAAAACTCAATGGATATCGATCAATGTCTTCAGATGCCTTACACGTCCTAGAAGAATAATTGTGAAAATCTGTATCACCCGAAAGAAGCAGATTTGATAGTATTCATTTTTGGCCCTATGAAATGCACTTAAGGAGTGCATTTACGTAAGAAAGTTAAAAAAGCAAAGCAGGTGAATGCATGCATGCCCATAAAGGTGGGGAAAGGAGACTTTAACCTCCTTTTTTGTCAAAAAGAGCCCGCTAAAAATAATAATTTGAGCTATAGGTTCTATATATAATATGATTAAAGGCAGGTCAAGGAGGGGGTGGGGGTTCGCCTTTTCGGACAAAAAAGACCCCCTCTCCTTTAAAACTGCTGTGTTATAACAAATAGTAAAATTGGGCCAGTGAGTTAATGCCCTAAACTTAAGGGGGCATATATCCCCACTTGTACACTAATTGTATGCAGGTAGAGTCTCGTGACGTCTATTGACCTTTATACAGTGTAATGTAAACAACGATAAGGTAGGATAAGGTATGGCGGACCGAAGGAATTGGGTGTCGAAGGAAGTAGCAGACGACCGCGGGGATCAATGATTAACCGAGTCCATATGAAATGACAGAAATGGAAGATGATGCCCGAACAGACAAAGATGTTCTTCTGGGGGCTTCGTCCGGGGATTCGTTCTTTCGTGGCGGGCAGTACGGCTCGATACAATCTGACGGTAAACCGCAGGAATATGAGACGTATACCCGGCGCTGGTATATCCTGATACTTTTCTCGCTGTTTGCGACGCTGCAAGGGGCGTCCTGGAATGCGTTTGGCCCGATTGAGGCGTCCAGCAAGGTGGCTTTTGGTTGGAATAATGCTCAGATCGCCTTGATACCCATGTGGGGGAACGTGGCCTTCGCTTTGACGGCGATACTGGGGTCTTGGCTCATGAATACTAAAGGTAATTTTGATCCGAAGGTGTGAGGAAGAAGATAGGGTCATACGGTTATCATGGGTTATAATGATGATTATGCAGCAATTTAAAAAGGGGGTTCTTTTTCTGAAAAAGTGTACTTTTTACCATAAAACTTTCATGTACCTAAATGAATTTTTTCCCGGCAAAAAGGGGGGATTCTTTCGAACCCCCCCGACCCGCCCCTGGCTACAGGCCTGATTATGTCTATGAACGGCACTGCGTGTAGAATAACTCCCTCCTCATTTTAAAGTTGTAGCCTAATTAATTATTGAACCATCCCAAAGTGTAGGACCCTTTACACGGATCCCAGTGTGCACAAGGGGCGGAGAGATGACCGTGTGTTTTTACACTAGAATAGTGTCAGGTTTGCATCAAATAGGCCCTATTGGTGTAACAATTCAGATAAATCAACTGTTCGCGACATGAAAATTTATATTGGGTGTTAAGCGTAGCCTAGGCCGTACGTCATCGGTGCTGTTGATTAATAATTGCTCCCCGGCACGATAACCAGTACGGGGGAAGGGGGTGGGGGGACCCTGCAGTTATCGCGCGTCTTAATTTCACCCACAGGCACTTTATAGTGAGTGTGAAATATCAACTTTTAAGTAAACTGAGTTCATCCTGATAGTGTACTTTTTTTTCATTTTCTTTTATTTTTCTCCTCAGGTCTTCGAGCAGCGACCGTCCTGTCCGTAGGCCTGGCCACGGTGGGTGCTGCTATACGATGTATAAGTGTAGAACCAGTCCCCGCCACCTGGTGAGTTGGAGTTCATACACGTGACCCATAAATCTAAAAGTGAGACTGCACTGAAAGCAAAGCGTCGTCATTTCAGCAGATCTCATTACCCTGTAGGGTATTCAACGCGTTTTATCGATGGGAAGTGAAGTGGGGGCAGCACTAAGAAGATCTGGGTTCAAATCTTAAAAGGGAAAAACACGCCGAAAGGATTAAAATTTAAAAACAAGTGCTCAAGCGTGTAAAAAAGGTTTTATAAAACATTACCTGCTTGAATGCGACTGTTTTTTTCCCATAAGAATTCTCTTCAAACCCAACCAAGAATATTATTGTTACACCACTGTCGAGTTGAATTAAATATAAAAACCTGAATATATATTTTTATGTCAATTTTTTGAGAATATCCGAAATGGAATAAACATGTAGTGTCCGGCAATGTATGACTGGCATGTATGGTAGGCCCCTGAAGAAAGCGCGTACTTGGACTTTTATACCTGAATTTAGTAGAACTTTATGGATGTGTTTTAGCCTAATTAATTTATTTCTTTAGCGAGATCAACACGGTGATTATGATGAATCCGTTCACTTTATCACTTGCTTGAAATAATCAATTAGTCAAAAGTGCGAATCTTTAGAAAAATTACGTAAATAATGGACACGAATTATAAACAAGAAAGGGAAATATAAGTCGAAACATGATAAAAAAAGAAATCTGCTTGTTTCAGGTTGATTAACATAGGGGCAGTTTTGAACGGTCTGGCAGCTTATTTGCCGAACGGTGGCCCTCCTTTTCTGTCCGCGATCTGGTTCCCTCCTCACCAACGCACCACGGCCACAGCCGTCTCCACAGTGGGAAGTTACATGGGAACCACCGTCTCCTTTATAATAGGCAAGCATTTTGTGTTAGTTACTGAAAGTTTTATTTTTAATTATAATATTTATGACCTGCACATCTTTAGATATACTTTGCTTCATGCTTGGTCCACCATTGCAAGAATATAGGGATTTAATTATAAACAGTTGCCCACGAAAGTGTATTAAAATATATACTATTAAAACAATTGCTTTGATATTACAGGTCCTCTTCTGGTGCCCCAACCAAGTAACGTTACATCCACCAACTGTTCAACTCAAAGTTCTCACAACGGGTAAGCACTGTCACACCCAGCACATTCTTGGCGTCACACCAAACACATTGCCTAGGACTTGGCCACACCTGAAAACTATTCTTAGGCAACCTCTACCTAACGTATTGGTAGTACCTTCTTTTGTATCGGATTTTTTTTTTTTTTTTTTTTTTTTTTTTTTTTTTTTGCGTGTGTCTGTGTATAAAACCTGACAGATTGATTAACTTGAAACGTGAATACACAGCCAAACTTTACCTTCAAGGTTTTATCTCTATGTTGAAACTTTTACTAGAACTCTTGTATACACAAACAACATATATAGATAATTTCATTAGAACACTTTTGCGCGAGCACATTCAGTGAATAGTCACAGATGTAATTTAATATGTTTCAGTTCATGTAGTGGGAATTTCTCATTAGGTAAGTCACGACTCTGTTCAATTGGCAACAAATCCAGTTGTAAAAATTTCCATAATACTGAATAATAAGTGCCATGTATTCGTCCTATTACATGAGGATTATTTAAACTTTGCTTTTTTTTTCATTTTGATATTCTCATATGCCAGTCGACATTGTGATCATTACTTCATAATGCATAGTTTCTTTCCTTTTAGATACTGTTGAGCAAGCTAGTTACATCCGTACATTCATGTTTGTCGGTAAGTGATTCTTTGTACCCAGAAAACAATTCTTCTTGTATTATATAAGCTATTATATCAAAACACAAAAAAAGGTATGCTAATCTTTACTTTAAAATTGTTACTGACAATAGTAACTGACAATGTAAATTTTGCATAATGTAAAATATTCTTACATTATGATACTGCCAAGTGTTATCTTAAAACGGCCTCATTTCCCTTCTCTGATTAAGAAAACTTATGAATGAAGCATTTATGAGCAATAACCGTTTAAAGTATTCTTTCCTTCCAGAGGGTGGTATAGCGCTGGCGCTGTTTCTGCCCGTGTTAATATACTTCCCGTCCAAACCACCCAAGCCTCCTAGCGCGTCTGCTTCGGTTGGGCGCGAAGATTCGCGGAGCGGATACAGGGACATCATTACGTAATATATTGCTTATGTCTTGTCTGTTGCATTATACAACAACTCTCCACTTTCCGGTAACTCTGCCTGTATATAAAATGGTTTATAATTTTTAAATGCGAAATATAAAGCAATTGTCGCACCCCTTGTATGTGCGTACCTGTTTATTCTGTCGCAATGAAAAATAAAATAAACGATAGTTTCGAAGTGTTAAATCGACATACTCTCGTTTGCTACATAGGCCACTTTGTATTCCCGTTTTCAGCCATGGTCAGTTCTGGTTGGTGTGTCTGGCATACTGTATTCCTGTTGGCGCCTATGGCGGGTTTTCAACCGTACTTGCGCTGAATTTGAAACCATTGGGAGTTTCCGAGGTATCATTCACTTGACATTGTTGACAGTAGGCAGGCTATTTTCGCTTAATAATAACCTAGGTGGCAGGAAAACTATAACAGCATGCTCAAAGGTAGAACAAATTACTAGTCTCAGAATGTTTACTTTGCTTTATTGTATTGAAACGTCATCATCAATATAAAATGTGCGTTATTTTAATGAACTGCAAAATGATATCTTTACAAAGGGGCTTAAAGGTTTTTTACCTATGTGTTCTTCAGGATGATTCCGACTGGATTGGGTTCTGGGCCACTATTGCAGGATGCATATCTGCTTTGGTGTTTGCAGTGTAAGGACCCCCCCTCCCCTCTCTCTCTCTCTCTCTCTCTCTCTCTCCTCAAACAAGATATCCTTACAATTCGCGCTCATTAAACGCTGCATTCTCTTTTTGTTTTTGTTTTTTTTTCTGCAAAATGTCCATATTTGTTTTCCCAATCTCGTGATAAATATAATTATTAGCTTTATTTCTCTTTCAGTGTAAGTGATATATATTATGGCCATTTGAAACGCATAGTGATAATCTTATCAATAGTGAGTGTCGCTGCCACAGCCTGGTTTACTTTGACTTCTGCTGGGATTATACCTTTTACCAAAGGTGAGTATTTGTTCTCAGCCCAGTTGGTTTTATATTCGTAGACGGACTCTGTAAACTGTTGTTGTTGGATATGACGTCAGGTGTTGTTGTGAGTGACGCCAGGTATACAAACGTTACACTGTGTTGGGTGTGATTGAACGAATAGATACCAATGGAGTTCACGTTTGCAGTAAATCATATGTTGCATCTGTAGGTTTGTGAATAGATACTGATATATTTGTCTCTTTCTTTTACATAAACAGTCTTTTTATAGTTTATTCATCAAAATGTCTTAATTTTTTCTTACATAAAGTCTTTTTTACCTGGTTTTACCCCCAATATAACACACTCTTTTTGCCATGCTTAAATTCCAGTGAGCCTTTACGCGTCTGCCATCCTGAGCGGCCTCTTCATTAATGGCCTGGTGCCGTTGTTGTACGAGATGGCGTGCGAGGCCACGTATCCTATAGACGAGTCTATACCTTGTACCATCATGACTGTGGCCAATACTATCATATGTTCTGTGTTTCTGCTGGTTTTTCAATTCCCAAATGTTGGTGAGTAGTAAGGGCAGCGTTTCTGGGTGAGAAAAAGAAGTTTAAATCGGTCTGTAAATATAGCCATATTGAAGAGTATACAGGAAAGCAACTGTTGACAACATCAATTGTGAGCAGCAACTCTGAATAAGATCTCTGAACGAAACTTCTGCGTGTCAACGGGGATATCCAGGAAGTATTCCGACCAGTCTGAATACGAAGAACAGAGTCGTTCAAAAGCATTATGATTAAACTGTACTAGGCAAGTTCTAGAAAGCACCCCGCCTTAACGCCCAACCCCATTACCGCATGGGTGTGGAGCCATCGAGATCCGCAATCTAAATCATTGTGTGAACGACGCATATATTTATATCTGTTCGGCTGAACAAACGAAACATGCAGCCGGGCACTACCAAACTGTTTCCAAATTGTTTCGTATCTTGTAAATCTAACGTGTTATGTTCTTTGTTCTAATCTGTGTATGATCAGTGTAAACCTTCTTCTGTGCCTAACATTTGGAGGTCTGAGATTAATTTCAAACTGTGATACATTTTAACATTAGCAGTAACTTAAGTACTCACCCCCTTGACTTTACATGATTAACAGAATGGTGTTTGTTTCAGGGACATCTTGGATGAATTGGTTTCTGTTGTCGTCAACCATTGTTAGCATCCCCCTGGTGGTGGCCTTCAAGGAGAATTACAGGAGGTCCACGTATGACAGTATGGGCACATCCGGGTCCACGTGTGACACACAGGACACCAAAGGGGCCATATTTGAACCCCATTCATCGGCCCATCGATTGCCCTACGGTGACCAGAGCACTCTGACAACCCCGAGAGCCACGCCAGAGATACGTGATTCAGAAGGTGCCCCTCTTTACTAGTCAACGAGTTCAATGTTCCTGGCCGGGTTTTACAACGATGGTTAACATGATCGAGTGCGATTTACATGTAGGCTATTTATTACAAGGTGCTTAACAGAAAAAATGAAAAGTAGCTATTATTGCATGAGCATCTCATTATTTTGTCATTTAATCAAAAGCAGATACAGACTTATTTATTATCATATTGCACCACAAGGACAAAGCGGTGATTTAAGAGGTACATGTTTATATCGTGATATATAAAGGGCTGCATGCTGCATTAAATATATTAAAGCTATTCCTGTTTTTATAGTTCAACGCGGTTTTCAATAACAATAATTACAACGAGAAGTAAATCGAAAGGGATATTGTAAAGAAGTAAAAAGAGTTAACAATAATAACAACAAGAAGTAAATCAAAAGGGAAAATGTTAACAAATAAGAAAGTTTGCAACGAAACGTTGCAAGTGTGACACAAACAGTTTTGTGTATAAAGTATAACGCAATGCATACAGAGTATACTGTGCGAAGTCATTTAACATTACGATCAAACTATCTCACTGGTTGGTTCAATATCACAGTCACTTTAAACGATGTGATAATGGTTGTGATAATTACGGTTGCTGGTGATAATGGTTGTGATAACTAGTACTGTGATTGTTTTTGATAATGTTTCAAATGCTGAAGGTCTGTTTGATAGAAATGAATATCAACCTGTATCTGAATTACTCGCCCATTATATTTATATGTACATTGTACATTTTAAGATGTGCTCAGGAATTATATCGAATATTTCTGTGTGAGAAGTTAGACAAAAAAATCTCATTTTTTTGTTAGTCAATATTTTCTAGAATGCCACGGATTGGATAATATTATACCATTGGAAATCCGTGGTCCATGTGTTCACTTTTCTCTTGTTCTTTCATTCTTAAATTATATTAACAAAATTCAGTGAGATTATAAGTCTAAAGGATCGTGTTATGTTAGTCACTGGAAGTAAGTTTTCATAAATTATTTTAATGAAGGTTACTCTGTTTAGCAGATTACATTTATTCTAACTAGACTTAATTCCGGTCATGCTATTATCATTATGTTTGTTGTTTTTCTTAAAACTGATGTTTAGTGCTCTCTTTCTCTTTCTCTGATGTTTATTGCTCTCTTTCTCTTTCTCTGTCTGTGTGTGTGTGTGTGTGTGAGAGAGAGAGAGAGAGAGAGAGAGAGAGAGAGAGAGAGACTCTAAAAACTCGCATTATATATTAATTCCTGGATAAAAATATATTTCATTAATCTCTTTGAAAAAATTTTATTATTCGAAACTCATCTACATGTTGGTTTATTATTTGCACCCATAAAATCTTTCTTTATTTCGTATATGGAAGGTTGAACCGTTTTAAAATTAAATAATTATGCGTAAAATTTTATTGCGAACAAGCTAGACAAAGCTGACAAATGTACAGAACCAAATAAGGTTAAACATGAACATTGAAAAAATAATATAAAAACCGCTGTCAGTCCAGCCTCAAAATCCTTATGTGAGGCGCATGTTTTGAAAAAATGCCTTCATTCTCAAAACCTGACTGTCATTTAATGTAAATACTGCTTCATGGTTGAAACTATAGCGGTATTTACGAGGCATCAATACGTTTTATGGAACTTATGAACAGTTAAAGAGTTCGACAAAATTTCGAACAGCATTATCAAATCCCGCTGCCCACCCGGACACCAGTGTTTTCAGTCAAAGAATTATATTTACTCCTTTATAAGTCCTTGGTTCACTTTAATACGCAGCACATTTGATACCGTAGTACGAACCATAAACCATCCAAAATTAAAGGAAGAATTTTGTAACTTGCTTTGTCTATAAAATGTTGAAATATATATATATATATATATATATATATATATATATATATATATATATATATATATTTCGCACTTATCGACAATCAATAGGCTCCACAGTGGCAAACACTGCTTCGACGACAAAATCAGTGCAGATTGCACATATTTTTGCACAGAATAGATGCTGAGCAAACGCTGTCCCTTGTTAAAAGTATATCGACTGAAGCAGATATTGCATGATCAGAAAAAAATGATTAAATCCCAATTTCACCTTCAGTTGCCGCACACGGCTGCTTGTGTGCTGTGTAACATGGGGAGAATATGCTGATCCAAGAGCAGTTTTTATACCGAGGTTTAAGAATGTGTTATTGATATTCGAGGTCAGGTCAATCAATCCACTTGACGGAAGCCAGGACGAGGAAGTAGGTGACAGGTAGCAAGTTTTTTTTTTAAATAATTTCTTTAGAAAGTTTGTGCATGTTTGTGATTTAGGGGACATATCGCTATCGTTATAAAGTAGTTCTGCTCTCGACGAAGATTGGGCCGTAAGTGTGCTTTACCTCATTTGAAACAAGTAAGTTGTATGCTGCGGCTTGCATAAGTTTTTTCATAAGCATTCCATCGTTTGCGCAGTCTTACTGAAACCCAGGTATCAATACATTATTGGTTTGACTCTCACAAAAGAAAACATGCATGCTCTTTGTTGCACTGTTTTCCACTGTTGCAAATCTGAGTCACGTGGTATATGATACTTCAAGCAGCGGGATAGTGATTGCTATTACTAAGACTAGCGTTAACACATTAACAGCAAGGGCAGATCTGCATCTCAGTGCAGCTATGAACAGTGTACACTTTGTTTTTATACTAAGTTGCTATGTATTAAAAAATATTATCTGAATCGGCAAATTACTGGTGATTAGACTGCCACATTAATCTAATACAATGCAAAAAAGCCCTATCAAAAGTGGTTAAAGCAATCAAACCGAATGTCGTAAAGTCCCCATATACCCCCATAGAGACAATAAAATAGAGTACTCTAAAGTAAGAGTACAGTCTAAGGTTGTTCTAGGTTGTTTTCAATTTTATGCACCCGGTTTTAAAATCATATAGCGATTTTACGACAATCGTTTGCTATCCAATCAAGGTGACAGCCGAGCGTGGATGAGCCCGCGGTCGTCCTACAAAATTTGTTCTGGGGTGTGATACTCCGAAATACGATCTGACACACACATTGAAAACGGGTAGTGTGGTCCGATATACCGGTTAATTCAGGATCCTTATGTGCCGAGTCTGGTAGTTGGGTAGGCCTGATGTACAAGTTTAGTCACATTAAAGGAAATGGTGTTCGCCATAATTTCTGTTGTTTGTTTCAGAAACGAATGGCGAAGATTTACCGATGTCTGGTAAACGAACTAGGGGTCTTATGGGTGCTGAGTATTGCCAGCATAACAGGTAAATAAAACTGGCAAAGTCGCAATAGATATAAACTAGCAATTAAAATGCATGGTTTTACCCAAAACTGTCCTTGAACAGTTTCAATTCGACAGAGCAAAAAAAAAAAATTTTGCAAAAACAATGAGCCATCAAAGGAGAAATATCCATAATGTATTTTAATGAGGTCTTGTAGAGCACATATTAACTCATAAGTGAACTCCCGATATTTGGATAAAAATTCAAAGCTGACAGGTATCCGGAACCGTGTACAGGTGGAACCATGCATTCTTCCCATTGCAGGTGCGGTGCCGTGTGATGACGTCATCAGTGTCACCCTACCGTCATCTTATTCTGTACACAGTGGACAGGATGTGACACTGCAGTGCACTTTTACTCCAATGTCGGGAGATGTAAGTAGATACCAAGTGAGGTGGCAGCGGAATGCACAGGAATATGAAGTAGAATTCACCAGTGGCAGAATTACATCAGTTCTACAGCCAGCGTGGAACGGAAGGTTGTCATTCCAGTCTCCAGCCTCACTTGTCATCGCTGGCGTCACTGCAGCAGATTCTGGGGCCTACACATGTGGAGTGATGATAACATTTACAGACCCTGCACTCTGCGATAAGGCAAACACTCGATACTTCACCAAAAGTACAATTCTGTCGGTCTTGGGTAAGTAAAGCGACTTAATTACATCATCGTCTTGCCGACTCTGTTAAATTGACTTCCTGTACTAATTATTATAATGATGGGTTTACTTTTAGCATTTCAAACTTTATAATGTTGTGATAGACAAAGCAACAAAAACTACTTTGTCTGATCAGCAGATAATAGTAGCTGTGTAGCTTACAAACATAATTTGTGAACACGTATAAATATCTATTAGTGCAAACATGTACAGCTATACAAGTACATGTATTCACTATACAAGTCCCCTTTTCTGCCAGTTCCAGTTGCAGGTGTTTCTGTAACCCGTTCACGTGCGACAGGACATGATGTGACCATGGGAGACACCGCATATCTGAGTTGTATAACAGCTTCAGGGACGACACCTATAACATATACATGGCTCCTGAACAATACACCATTACAGCAGAGTGGCAGGGAGTTGACAATCAGCAATATACAACCAAACCAAGCAGGACCATACAGATGTAATGCCAGCAACACCATATCATGGCAACAGTCCGGGACATTCACATTTAATGTGCTACGTAAGTATCTCTGTACAAAAATAGCCAACTGATGGCGAACTATTGTTTTTTAAGCAAGAACTAAGTAGAGCAGCATGTCTTGCAATACCGTTTGTGATTCTAGTAAATTTGAAATAACCCATTATATAATCAACAAAATTAATAATAAAAAGTAAAATATTGTAAATCATTTTCTTATCTGCTTCAGTGGAATTCTTGTTACAATCCCATTTAATGTTCAGCAACGTTGGTTCTCAGTTCCAGTAAGGGGTGTCTCTGTAACCCGTTCACGTGCCATAGGACATGATGTGACCAAGGGAGACACCGCATATCTGAGTTGTATAACAGCTTCAGGGACGGCACCCATAACATATACATGGCTCCTGAACAATACACCATTGCAGCAGAGTGGCAGGGAGTTGACGATCAGCAATATACAACCAAACCAAGCAGGACCATACAGGTGTAATGTCAGCAACTCCATATCATGGCAACAGTCCGGGACATTCACATTTAATGTGCTACGTAAGTGGCTGTCTGCAAAAATAGTCAACTGATGATGAACTGTTCTTTTGTGTTGCTGTAAAGTAATTTTTAAGTAGAACAGCATGTCTTGTAATATCCTTTATTATTAATATTCTAGTGAGAATGAAATAAAACATTTTATACTCAACAAAATTAGTATGCAAAAAAGAGTGGAATATTGTAAATCATTTTCTCATCCGCTGCAGTGGAATTCTTGTTACAATCCTATTTAATGTTCAACATAGTTGTTTCTCAGTTCCAGTTGGTGGTGTCTCTGTAACCCGTTCACGTGCCACAGGACATGATGTGACCATGGGAGACACCGCATATCTGAGTTGTATAACAGCTTCAGGGACGACACCCATAACATATACATGGCTCCTGAACAATGCAGCATTACAGCAGACTGACAGGGAGTTGACAATCAGCAATATACAACCAAACCAAGCAGGACCATACAGGTGTAATGTCAGCAACTCCATATCATGGCAACAGTCCGGGACATTCACATTTAATGTGCTACGTAAGTGGTTCTGTAAAAAAAATAGCCAACTGATGTTGAACTGTTGTTTTTATGTTGCTGTAAAGTGAGAACTTAGTAGAGCAGCATGTCTTGTAATATCATTTGTTATTCTGGTGAAAAAGAAACCAAACATATTATAATTACCAAAATTACTATGTATAAAAATAGGTGAAATACTGTAAATCATTTTTCACCTGCTTTAGTGGAATTCTTGTGACAAGTGAACTCCTGATATTTGGATAATAAGTCGGAGCTGGCAGGTACCATGAACCATTTACAGCTGGAACAATGCCTTCTTCCCATTACAGGTGCGGTGCCGTGTGATGAGGTCATCAGTGTCACCCTACCGTCATCTTATTCTGTACACAGTGGACAGGATGTCATGCTGCAGTGCACTTTTACTCCAATGTCAGAAGATATGAGTAGATACCAAGTGAAATGGCAGTGGAATGAACATGAATATGAAGCAGAATTTTCCAGTGGCAAAATTACAACTGTTCTACAGCCAGCGTGGAACGAAAGGTTGTCATTCCAGCCTCCAGCCTCACTTGTCATCGCTGGCGTCACTGCAGCAGATTCTGGGGCCTACACATGTGGGGTGATGATAACATTTACAGACCCTGCACTCTGCGATGAGGCAAACACTCGCTACTTCACCAAAAGTACAATTCTTTCGGTCTTGGGTAAGTAAAGCGACTTAATAACATCATCGTTTTGTCGACTCTGATAAATTGAGTTCCTGTAGCAATTATTATAATGATGAGTTTTTGTTTTTAGCATTTCAAACTTTGTTCTGTTGTGAAAAACAGGGCGACAAAATCTACCTTGTGTGATCAGCAGATAATAGTAGCTCTGTAGCTAACTAACATATTTTGTAAACAAAAAGAAATGTTTGCTAGTATACACATGTATAACCATAGATGTACATATATTCACTGTACATTATAAAGAGACCTTTTCGTCCAGTTCCAGTTGGAGGTGTCTCCGTAACCCGTTCACGTGCTACAGGACATGATGTGACCATGGGAGACACCGCATATCTGTGTTGTATAACAGCTTCAGGGACGACGCCCATAACATATACATGGCTCCTAAACAATACACCATTACAGCAGAGTGGCAGGGAGTTGACAATCAGCAATATACAACCAAACCAAGCAGGGCCATACAGGTGTAATGTCAGCAACTCCATATCATGGCAACAGTCCGGGACATTCACATTTAATGTGCTACGTAAGTATCTCTGTACAAAAATAGCCAACTGATGTTGAACTGTTGTTTTTATGTTGCTGTGAAGTAACTTCTAAGTAGAGGAGCATGTCTTGTAATATCCTTTATCATTATTATTCTCGTGAGAATGAAATAAAACATTTTATACTCAACAAAATTAATATGCAATAAAGGGTGGAATATTGTGAACCATTTTCTTATCTGCTTCAGTGGAATTCTTGTTACCATCCCATTTAATGATCAACAACGTTGTTTCTCAGTTCCAGTTAAGGGTGTCTCTGTGGCCCGTTCACGTGCTACAGGACATGATGTGACCATGGGAGACACCGCATATCTGAGTTGTATAACAGCTTCAGGGACGACACCCATAACATATACATGGCTCCTGAATAATACACCATTACAGCAGACTGGCAGGGAGTTGACAATCAGCAATATACAACCAAACCAAACAGGACCATACAGATGTAATGTCAGCAACTCCATATCGTGGCAACAGTCCGGGACATTCACATTTAATGTGCTACGTAAGTGGGTCTACAAAAATAGCCAACTGATGTTGATCTGTTGTTTTTACATTTTAATGTCGTTTGTGATTCTAGTGAATTTGAAATAACCCATCTTATAATCAACATATAAGTATGTAGTTAAAAGTGAAATTTTGTCAAAAATTATTTCATCTGCTTTAGTGGAATTCTTGTTACTATCACATCTAATGTTCAACAACGTTATTTCTCAGTTCCAGTTAAGGGAGTCTCTGTGGCCCGTTCACGTGCCACAGGACATGATGTGACCATGGGAGACACTGCATATCTGAGTTGTATAACAACTTCAGGGACAACACCTATAACATACATATGGCTCCTGAACAATACACCATTACAGCAGACTGGCAGGGAGTTGACGATCAGCAATATACAACCAAACCAAGCAGGACCATACAGCTGTAATGTCAGCAACTCCATATCATGGCAACAGTCCGCAACATTCACATTTAATGTGCTACGTAAGTGGCTCTGGACAAAAATAGCCAACTGATGGCGAACTGTTGTTTATATGTTGCTGTGAAGTAATTTCTAAGTAGAGGAGCGTGTCTTGTAATATCCTTTATTATTATTCTAGTGAAAATAAAATAAAACATTTTATACTCAACAAAATTAGAATGCAATGAAGGGTGGAATATTGTGAACCATTTTCTCATCTCCTTCAGTGGAATTCTTGTTACCATCCCATTTAATGTTCAACAACGTTGTTTCTCAGTTCCAGTTAAGGGTGTTTCTGTGGCTCGTTCACGTGCCACAGGACATGATGTGACCATGGGAGACACTGCATATCTGATTTGTATAACAGCTTCAGGGACGACACCTATAGCATACACATGGCTCCTGAACAATACACCATTACAGCAGACTGGCAGGGAGTTGACAATCACCAATATACAACCAAACCAAGAAGGACCATACAGCTGTAATGTCAGCAACTCCATATCATGGCAACAGTCCGCGACATTCACATTTAATGTGCTACGTAAGTGGGTATGGATAACAATAGTTAAGTGATGGTGAACTGTTGTTTTTATTCTGTTGTGAAGTAAGTTCGGAGTAGAGCAGCATGTCTTGTGATATTATTTGTTATTATTCTAGTTAGAACGAAATAATACATTTTATAATTTAAAAAAAAATTAGCATGTAATAAAAAGTGAAATTTTGTCAAAATTTTCTCATCTCCTTCAGTGGAATTCTTTTTTCCATCCCATTAAATGTTCAACAAAGTTGTTTCTCAGTTCCAGTTAGGGGTGTATCTGTGACCCGTTCACGTGCCACAGGACATGATGTGACCATGGGAGACACTGCATATCTGATTTGTATAACAGCTTCAGGGTCGACACCCATAACATACACATGGTTCATGAACAATACACCATTACAGCAGACTGGCAGGGAGTTGACAATCAGCAGATATACAACAAAACCAAGCAGGACCATACAGCTGTAATGTCAGCAACTCCATATCATGGCAACAGTCCGGGACATTCACATTTAATGTTCTACGTAAGTGGGTCTGGATAACAATAGTCAAGTGATGGTGAACTGTTGTTTTTATTTTGTTGTGAAGTAAGTTCGGAGTAGAGCAGCATGTCTTGTGATATTATTTGTTATTTTTCTAGTGAGAACGAAATAATACATTTTATAATAAAAAAATTAGCATGTAATAAAAAGTGAAATTTTGTCAAAAATTTTCTCATCTCCTTCAGTGGAATTCTTATTTACATCCCATTATATGTTCAACAACGTTGTATCTCAGTTCCAGTTAGGGGTGTATCTGTAACCCGTTCACGTGCCACAGGACATGATGTGACCATGGGAGACACTGCATATCTGATTTGTATAACAGCTTCAGGGTCGACACCCATAACATACACATGGCTCTTGAACAACACACTATTACAGCAGACTCACAGGGAGTTGACAATCAACAATATACAACCAAACCAAGCAGGACCATACAGCTGTAATGTCAACAACTCCATATCATGGCAACAGTCCGGGACATTCACATTTAATGTGCAAAGTAAGTATCACTGTACAAAAATAGCCAACTGATGCCGCACTGTTATTTTTATGTTTTGTAATATCGTTTGTGATTCTAGAGAATTTGAAATAACCCATCTTATAATCGACTAAATTAGTATGTAATAAAAAGTAAAATATTGTCAAAAATGTTCTCATCTGCTTCAGTGGAATTCTTGTTTCGATCCCATTTAATGTTCAACAACGTTTTTTATCAGCTCCGATTGAGGGTGTCTCTATAACCCGTTCACGTGCCACAGGACATGATGTCACCAAGGGAGACACTGGATATTTGAAATGCACAACAACATTAGGCTTTGCACCGAGAACTTATACATGGTTCCTGGACAATGCACCATTACAGCAGACTGGTAGTGAGTTGACAATCAGCAATATACAACCAAGCCAAGCAGGACCATACACATGTAATGTCAGCAACTCCATATCAGGGCAGTCCAGGACATTCTTTTTTAATGTTTTATGTAAGTGACACTGTAACAAATCATAGGCAACGGACAGTGATGGTTTTTGTCAATGCATCACAACAGCGGATTAATTTTAGACGGGAATTGAATAATTATCCAGAGTTATTTATTTTATCTGCGACTGAGGCGCATCTAAATAAAAGTTAATGTAAAAACCATATATCTTATTTGTTAGTAATGTAGTATTCCAGGTTTAGGTCAGATTGGTGCGGTATATAATACAACGTACCATAAATTATTTTATATTTTAATAATTAGTTAAAATACTTATATTTGAACCCCATGCTGACCATGAATTAAAGGGCACAATTTGACCTCCATTTCTTTTAAAAACTCCGTCCGTGATGAATTCGAACTGTCCTAAAAGAAGGTAGAAATGTGTATTGTACTTGTAGTATGTCTCTTTCCAGATGCCCCAGACAACTGGCAGAATATACCCACACTGACAGGGTACAACGCCACATCAGACAAACTTGTCACTGGGGAGACATCTGTGACCTTGGCCTGTAGAGCACCTGGCGGGAATCCTTTAGCATCCTTAAGCTGGACATCAGGGTGTCCAAGTGGTTCAACCAGTGCACATTTCACCTCAAACACGTCAGAGATCAGACTTCAGTTTACAGTACAAACCAGTCACCATCAGACCACGTGTGGCTGTAATGCTACACATGCACATGGAGCACCTGAATCCAAGCAGAGACAAGTCACTTTTCTTGTTATACGTATGTATGTTTTTGCCTTCATTTTTCTTTCTTTTATTTTAATTGTCATTCATGTCTGGTTGTTATAGACAAAGATGAAAAAAGATGAAAAAGCCTGGCATAACTCTGATCGATTCAGATTGACTGTACACGTTTCACCTTCCTGAAAAGGTTTCGTCGTTGTTCTCTCTGTGTTATTTTAAACCGAATGAAATAAAAAATGATAGCGAATGTGATACCTTGAAACGACTACAAAGAGATGGGTTTTAGATAAATTAATAATCAACATAAATGACAATAAAAATAGGATCATATATACATGCACTAATTTGATGTTGAGACGAAATATGCTTGCCACATTCAATCTATTTCTGGTGCCCAATTGATTGAAAAACATATACGTAGTTTTACATGGATATATTTTGACAGTAGTATTATATAAAAATGTTTATGATTAATGTTTATATACGTTTTAAAGTTAATCTGCTGTACTTCTTAAGAATTTTTGTATTATATTTGCAAAGTACATGTAAGAAAACGGAATGCGTTATACAAGGAATAAATATTATTATTATCAATGTTTACTACAAACATTTTTAAAAGTCCATGAATTATGTTGATAGATTTTATTTCTGACACCGTCTATACTTTCAGATCCCCCAAGCAGTGTGAATATCACACTAAGTCCTCCATTACCGTGGTTGGCGACAGGACAGAACCCGACCACCAATGCCCAGCTGACATGTTCAGCTACTGGTGGATATCCAACACCAACGTTGTCATGGCAACGTAACTCTGTGTCTGTGCCAGGGTCAGCTACGTACACTTTCCAAGCTGTAGATATCAGTGAAAACCAAGTGGAATACAAGTGCCTGGCTTCAAATGACTACACTACAATAAAAGGAGTTACTGTTCAGAAGGCGCTACGGCTTGATGTTCAGTGTAAGTTAATAGTCACCACGACCCATAAATGTTGAGGCCAAAATATTTCAAACACACGTGGATTATTAGGATATGTTTTTCCATTCACCTTTAAAACGCCTTTGTTAATGTGGGATACCATTAAGATATATAGATGCTACATTGTTAATTGGACTTGATATAATATTATTTCATTTTTTTCTTTCATAATCAACCATTTTTAATTCTAACATTCAATTATAATATTCTACGTTCTACTTTTACGTTTAATTAGAAGATTAGTACTTTTCATATTCTACATTTCCATAGACCACCCTATAGTTCAGGTCAGCGTCTCCCCCAGCAGTACCAGGGAGGTCAACGAGTCTGTTACGTTAATATGCACAGCATACGGCAACCCAACTGTCACTTCCTATAGATGGCAGAAAGGTAGCTGGACAACAGGACAAGCCAACCATACTATACAACAACTGACCAAGGATGATTCAGGACAGTATACCTGCACAGTAACAGCCAACTCAGCCAGACACAGTGATCTTATCTCTACAAAGAACATCACTCTCATTGTCCAATGTAAGAACATATTTGAAAACCAGTTGTACCAGGCATATATTTTAATTACGACTGATATAGGCCTATATGGTAGAGCAAATATTCGCCAGAATTGGAAATTAGTTAGTTTCATTAATGTGCATATTATTAGGTATCCATATGCAAATTTTATTGCTTGATATGCTGTCTATACATATTGTCATAGAAATGCGTCAAAATACATTTTAATATTTGAACTCTTCATTTGAAACTTCCATATAAAATTTGTGAGCACCACCAACTTTGTGTCTGCATGTGTTTTTATTGCTACGCGAGAATAAAATGGTGAATCATAAGAAATATACTTAATAAACATATTTAATTTCAAGCGCTGCAACAACATTATATTAATCTGCATCACATTATGTCATGCATACTTCTACGCTTTTGAAATCACTTTGTCAAAATAAAGCCAAGTTTCTTCATCCAAGTATCGATTGTTTTCTATTGTAGATCTCACAGTGACTTTCCCTGTTGTCCCAGAGCAGACTGAAGGTGACAACCTGTCTATGACATGTACAGCACAAGGAGAACCTGGCGGAAACAACATACGATATCAGAAGTGGATGTTTCAGCCAACAGGAGGAGGTTCAGTTACAGAACTTGACAATACCAGCGACAGATTGGTGATAACTCGTATACAGTACACAGATGCTGGGGTTTACACGTGTATTGCAACCAACGGAGTGTTCACGAAAGCCGCTTCAGGGGATGTAATAGTAAGATGTAAGTTTGAGTAATATGTACTAGTTTGTATGTCATTGATGGATTCTATACTAGTATCACATTTTCTTATACAGAATCCATGGTTCCGTGAAACTACATGTGCATTTGTCGTAGTTAAAAAAACAAGCGTTAAACTTTTGTTTTGGGGTAGGTTTCAAGCAAACTTTTGATGATAATTGTGTTGTTTTTTTTATTATTGATACAGACATCAGCGCACCAAGCAGATATAAATAGAAAATTTAAAATTAATAAGCTGACCATAGTCAGCCCTTGAAATTGAGGCTGTATCTTTCGATAGTTCAAGCTTCTTATACAATCATACATGTTCTTCGATATTCAATGTGATCATTTTAAGATTCTCCCAAAAGAGATCCTAATACCAGATATCAAGGCAGAGTAAGTGGGGATATAGGGGAAACAAAGGCCTTAAGTGTCCATGTCATCGCTTACCCAAAGCCAACGTCATTCACTTGGAAGAAAGGGGAACAAGTGGTCAATATAACATCTCAGGACCAAGATTTCTCATCTTCATTGCCAATACTGATAGATGAGGCTAGCTATGGAAACTACACATGTGAAGTTACTAATGGGGTGAAGGAGCCACTTGTTGTTCATTTTACACTGGAACGCTCAGGTAGTAAGAACATGTTACAACATACAGATAAATGTAATTAATAATTTATTCGTCGCGAGTCAAGGATTTATCTGAAATTTAAATTGACTAAATTCAGTTCTTTGTTAAAGATACTATTTATCACAAAATGCAATTGAATGCACTGTAAAATACCATGACTCATATTTAAAGTACAATATATGTTAATTATAATAAATGGATAAATATAAGCGTTCTCATATGTATTGATTATGCCAAGTTTATAAAATTTGAGTGATTTCTGAAATGTATTGGTCTTATATTTCACCCTCATAAGAATTTGAAGTATGAAAGGAAAACACGGAGATGTATTTGACATTTAACGAGCCAATGTGATGCAATGCCAAATGTAATCTTTGAATAGAATTGATAAAATCAAAGAACGCTCGCCCTAACCGCAATTATGGTTCACACACGTGCGCATGTGTGAGAAATGAATCAAGCTTTAACTTTTTGTGTTCTTTTGAAAGGAAAGCCAGACATTCCATTAGACTTCCGAGCTGTGTCGTCGTCAGCTGTATCTGTCACCGTATCATGGAGGGCAGGTAATAACGGTGGACGTAGACAGGTGTTTACTCTTCAGTACAAGGAGGCCACTTCTGCACAATGGCTGAGCATTTCGAACATTCCAGATCCTGGCTTTGGACAAATTAAACAGTACAAGATCACTGGATTGAGGTCTGGCGTCACTTACAATGTCCGAGTACGAGCTGAGAATGAAATCGATGATGCCAGTAGGAGTGCCAGTCCATTTACAGATATATTGGACATCAACACAAAAGGTTCTAAAATGATCTAGTTTTTTCCATTTGCGGTGATATTCCTAAAAAAAGTGGGAAGCAATCCCTTGCTTTTAATCCTTATATCCAAGATATATGTCACAGGTCAGATCTCATTCTAGTCCAGTTACTAACTGGACTACGCCAGATCCCAATTGGGTCTTTACATTGTTAACAGCAAAATGAGCATGCTATGGGCCAAGTAATTTACACATGAGCTGTCAGTTTGTTTGTATGGCATGTGTAATAAAATTGTGGATGTTATAGATCAAGGTATATCACATTAAACTTGGGATCTGGCCTGTGACATAAACAATGGGTCGTTACTTGATTTTTTGTTTGTGGTAAGTCTTTACGAAAACTGAACTGATTTCCCGCTTCATATGTTTGTAACCAATGATACTCAATGGTGTGCAATCACCATTCAACTAAATGATAATAAAATGAACCTGTTCTTTTCAGTCAAGCCAGTTTTGAAAAAGCATCAACCCCAAATGGGAAAACCTCTGATCACAGACGTTCATATAAAATTATTTCAAAATTACGTAATGCAAATTTTTATATTTTTCCAGCCCTGACAGATCAAACTAATGGAACAGGAATTATCGTCTGGATAGTCGTACCTATTGCCTTGGTTATCATAGCAATTGTCATCGCCATTCTCGTCTGTAAAATAAGGTCTGTAAGAAGGAAAAAGGGTAAGTGAACCTTGTCGTCTCAGGGTGGAGATTTAACTCATCTTAACGGAGCTTTGGTTGTGTGATTTATTGTATTTAATGCCAGATGTCTATCATGATAAGTATAGAGTGAAAACTGCCATGTGCCAAACACAATATTAGTATCGCAGAATACTATGGTATTTAAATTAGTTGAATAATTTTGGGGTGTGTTTTAGAGAATTCATATTCAACTTTTGAAAGTTTTATTCAAATCAGCCTAGGCAGTTAATATATTTGGGACCAATGAAAGTGAATATAACTTTAAAAGTAGCCTCCAACAGTTAATGCAAATGTTAATGTATTAGCCGTCAATGTTTTTCTCATTCCCAAAATGTTTCCATTCCTGGCTGTATAGATGGACCGAACACACAGATAGCAAACGCCGTCAGAATGGATGATATGAAGGTGAGCTACATCAGATTGGAAAATAAAGTAACTGATATCGTTGCAGACTAGCAGTGCGCATGAATTGACAAGAATCTTTGGAAGAACTACATTTCAATAGATCAGGTCTGATAACGTTCCCTTTTCTTTCCTGTGTAACACACATGGCGATCGTGGCGTGTGCGAATGACTTTTGACCAACATCTTCCGAGTACAAAGACTAACATACTAACAAGAAGTTGGAATGCATAGTACTACATTAAGTTTTGGTGTATATAAACAGCCGCTGTCCGTGTTGTCACCATCCTACACTCATTTTATTCACCCTACAACTACAAAACCATATGTTGTATACCTTAATGGAGAAATTACCATTTCTTTTGAATGTCTGTGTATTAGTAACTTGTGTTATGTAGTTAAATCTTTAATAGGTAACCCTCAAAAAGACGTTTTTTTCATCATCACAAGCGTACATTTTAGTTTAAATAAAAAGAATTTCAGAATTGGTAATATATTCCATATTATAGAAGAACATATAAAACGTTTATGAGCTCTTATTTTGGAAAAATTATTTGCTTTCAGCAGTTATTTTCTACACCAAATATTTTACCAAAATTCAGGTTAGTGAAGAATCTCCATACATAGATATGCTTCAACGTGATGTAGAAATACCCAGAAGTAGTATCAAGATGTTACAACAAATCAACAAAGGAGCCTTTGTCCTTGTCTTCAAAGGCAGTGTCTTCAACATGTACGGGAAAAAAAAGTGGACCACAGTTGCCATTAAAACAACTAGAGGTAATAGCTGCAATGTTGCCTTTGTGATAAGTCTTTTTTATTTATTTCTTGTCGTGTACTAATAGTACAGCAAACAACGATCTAATTATTTTCATTTTAGATGAAAAGGACGCAGTTGTTATCAGAGATCTGATGAATGAATTGAAAGTGATGATGGAGCTTTCTGTTCACCCTAATGTGGTATCTCTTCTTGGATCTTGCACGCGTGACGGTGGTAAGTGTACAATCCCTTGAAAATATCAACTTTTTATGACAGTATAGTTTTGACCTGGGTCGCATATTTAATTAAGCTAACCTTTATTTCTGATATATATATATATATATATATATATATATATATATATATATATATATATATATATATATATATATATATATATATCTGATGTAGCTCACCTTCATACCATCCATCCATNCAAACCAAGCAGGACCATACACATGTAATGTCAGCAACTCCATATCAGGGCAGTCCAGGACATTCTTTTTTAATGTTTTATGTAAGTGACACTGTAACAAATCATAGGCAACGGACAGTGATGGTTTTTGTCAATGCATCACAACAGTGGATTAATTTTAGACGGGAATTAAATAATTTTCCAGAGTTATTTATTTTATCTGCGACTGAGGCGCATCTAAATAAAAGTTGATGTAAAAACCATATATCTTATTTAGTAATGTACTATTCCAGGTTTAGGTCAGATTGGTGCGGTATATAATACAACGTACCATAAATTATTTTTTATTTTAATAATTAGTTGAAATACTTATATTTGAACAACATGCTGAACATTAATTTAAGGGCACAATTTGACCTCCATTCCTTTTAAAAACTCCGTCCGTGATGAATTCGAACTGTCCTAAAAGAAGGTAGAAATGTGTATTGTAATATGTCTCTTTCCAGATGCCCCAGACAACTGGCAGAATATACCCACACTGACAGGGTACAACGCCACATCAGACAAACTTGTCACTGGGGAGACATCTGTGACCTTGGCCTGTAGAGCACCTGGCGGGAATCCTTTAGCATCCTTAAGCTGGACATCAGGGTGTCCAAGTGGTTCAACCAGTGCACATTTCACCTCAAACACGTCAGAGATCAGACTTCAGTTTACAGTACAAACCAGTCACCATCAGACCACGTGTGGCTGTAACGCTACACATGCACAGGGAGCACCTGAATCCAAGGAGAGACAAGTCACTTTTCTTGTTATACGTATGTATGTTTTTGTCTTCATTTTTCTTTCTTTTTTTAATTGTCATTCATGTCTGGTTGTTATAGACAAAGATGAAAAAAGATGAAAAAGCCTGGCATAACTCTGATCGATTCAGATTGACTGTACACGTTTCACCTTCCTGAAAAGGTTTCGTCGTTGTTCTCTCTGTGTTATTTTAAACCGAATGAAATAAAAAATGATAGCGAATGTGATACCTTGAAACGACTACAAAGAGATGGGTTTTAGATAAATTAATAATCAACATAAATGACAATGAAAATAGGATCATATATACATGCACTAATTTGATGTTGAGACGAAATATGCTTGCCACATTCAATCTATTTCTGGTGCCCAATTGATTGAAAAACAAATACGTAGTTTTACATGGATATATTTTGACAGTAGTATTATATAAAAATGTTTATGATTAATGTTTATATACATTTTAAAGTTAATCTGCTGTACTTCTTAAGAATTTTTGTATTATATTTGCAAAGTACATGTAAGAAAACGGAATGCGTTATACAAGGAATAAATATTATTATTATCAATGTTTACTACAAACATTTTTAAAAGTCCATGAATGATGTTGATAGATTTTATTTCTGACACCGTCTATACTTTCAGATCCCCCAAGCAGTGTGAATATCACACCAAGTCCTCCATTACCGTGGTTGGCGACAGGACAGAACCCGACCACCAATGCCCAGCTGACATGTTCAGCTACTGGTGGATATCCAACACCAACGTTGTCATGGCAACGTAACTCTGTGTCTGTGCCAGGGTCAGCTACGTACACTTTCCAAGCTGTAGATATCAGTGAAAACCAAGTGGAATACAAGTGCCTGGCTTCAAATGACTACACTACAATAAAAGGAGTTACTGTTCAGAAGGCGCTACGGCTTGATGTTCAGTGTAAGTTAATAGTCACCATGACCCATAAATGTTGAGGCCAAAATATTTCAAACACACGTGGATTATTAGGATATGTTTTTCCATTCACCTTTAAAACGCCTTTGTTAATGTGGGATACCATTAAGATATATAGATGCTACATTGTTAATTGGACTTGATATAATATTATTTCATTTTTTTCTTTCATAATCAACCATTTTTAATTCTAACATTCAATTATAATATTCTACGTTCTACTTTTACGTTTAATTAGAAGATTAGTACTTTTCATATTCTACATTTCCATAGACCACCCTATAGTTCAGGTCAGCGTCTCCCCCAGCAGTACCAGGGAGGTCAACGAGTCTGTTACGTTAATATGCACAGCACACGGCAACCCAACTGTCACTTCCTATAGATGGCAGAAAGGTAGCTGGCCAACAGGACAAGCCAACCATACTATACAACAACTGACCAAGGATGATTCAGGACAGTATACCTGCACAGTAACAGCCAACTCAGCCAGACACAGTGATCTTATCTCTACAAAGAACATCACTCTCATTGTCCAATGTAAGAACATATTTGAAAACCAGTTGTACCAGGCATATATTTTAATTACGACTGATATAGGCCTATATGGTAGAGCAAATATTCGCCAGAATTGGAAATTAGTTAGTTTCATTAATGTGCATATTATTAGGTATCCATATGCAAATTTTATTGCTTGATATGCTGTCTATACATATTGTCATAGAAATGCGTCAAAATACATTTTAATATTTGAACTCTTCATTTGAAACTTGCATATAAAATTTGTGAGCACCACCAACTTTGTGTCTGCATGTGTTTTTATTGCTACGCGAGAATAAAATGGTGAATCATAAGAAATATACTTAATAAACATATTTAATTTCAAGCGCTGCAACAACATTATATTAATCTGCATCACATTATGTCATGCATACTTCTACGCTTTTGAAATCACTTTGTCAAAATAAAGCCAAGTTTCTTCATCCAAGTATCGATTGTTTTCTATTGTAGATCTCACAGTGACTTTCCCTGTTGTCCCAGAGCAGACTGAAGGTGACAACCTGTCTATGACATGTACAGCACAAGGAGAACCTGGCGGAAACAACATACGATATCAAAAGTGGATGTTTCAGCCAACAGGAGGAGGTTCAGTTAAGGAACTTGACAATACCAGCGACAGATTGGTGATAACTCGTATACAGTACACAGATGCTGGTGTTTACACGTGTACTGCAACCAACGGAGTGTTCACGAAAGCCGCTTCAGGGGATGTAATAGTAAGATGTAAGTTTGAGTAATATGTACTAGTTTGTATGTCATTGATGGATTCTATACTAGCATCACATTTTCTTATACAGAATCCATGGTTCCGTGAAACTACATGTGCATTTGTCGTAGTTAAAAAAACAGGCGTTAAACTTTTGTTTTGGGGTAGGTTTCAAGCAAACTTTTGATAATAATTGTGTTGTTTTTTTTTTTATTATTGATACAGACATCAGCGCACCAAGCAGATATAAATAGAAAATTTAAAATTAATAAGCTGACCATAGTCAGCCCTTGAAATTGAGGCTGTATCTTTCGATAGTTCAAGCTTCTTATACAATCATACATGTTCTTCGATATTCAATGTGATCATTTTAAGATTCTCCCAAAAGAGATCCTAATACCAGATATCAAGGCAGAGTAAGTGGGGATATAGGGGAAACAAAGGCCTTAAGTGTCCATGTCATCGCTTACCCAAAGCCAACGTCATTTACTTGGAAGAAAGGGGAACAAGTGGTCAATATAACATCTCAGGACCAAGATTTCTCATCTTCATTGCCAATACTGATAGATGAGGCTAGCTATGGAAACTACACATGTGAAGTTACTAATGGGGTGAAGAAGCCACTTGTTGTTCATTTTACACTGGAACGCTCAGGTAGTAAGAACATGTTACAACATACAGATAAATGTAATTAATAATTTATTCGTCGCGAGTCAAGGATTTATCTGAAAATTAAATTGAATAAATTCAGTTCTTTGTTAAAGATACTATTTTATCACAAAATGCAATTGAATGCACTGTAAAATACCATGACTCATATTTAAAGTACAATATATGTTAATTATAATAAATGAATAAATATAAGCGTTCTCATATGTATTGATTATGCCAAGTTTATAAAGTTTGAGTGATTTCTGAAATGTATTGGTCTTATATTTCACCCTCATAAGAAGGAAAACATGGAGATGTATTTGACATTTAACGAGCCAATCTGATGCAATGCCAAATGTAATCTTTGAATAGAATTGATAAAATCAAAGAACGCTTGCCGTTACCGCAACTATGGTTCACACACGTGCGCATGTGTGAGAAATGAATCAAGCTTTAACTATTTGTGTTCTTTTGAAAGGAAAGCCAGACATGCCATTAGACTTCCGAGCTGTGTCGTCGTCAGCTGTATCTGTCACCGTGTCATGGAGGGCAGGTTATAACGGTGGACGTAGACAGGTGTTTACTCTTCAGTACAAGGAGGCCACTTCTGCACAATGGCTGAGCATTTGGAACATTCCAGATCCTGGCTTTGGACAAATTAAACAATACAAGATCACTGGTTTGAGGGCTGGCGTCACTTACAATGTCCGAGTACGAGCTGAGAATGAAATCGATGATGCCAGTAGGAGTGCCAGTCCATTTACAGATATATTGGACATCAACACAAAAGGTTCTAAAATGATCTAGTTTTTTCCCATTTGCGGTGATATTCCAAAAAAATATGGGAAGCAATCCCTTGCTTTTAATCTTTATATCCAAGATATATGTCACAGGTCAGATCTCATTCTAGTCCAGTTACTAACTGGACTACGCCAGATCCTAATTGGGTCTTTACATTGTTAACAGCAGAATGAGCGTGCTAGTTGGCCAAGTAATTTACACATGAGCTGTCAGTTTGTTTGTATGGCATGTGTAATAAAATTGTGGATGTTATAGATCAAGGTATATCACATGAAACTTGGGATCTGGCCTGTGACATAAACAATGGGTTTTTACTCGATTTTTTGTCTGTGGTAAGTCTTTACGAAAACTGAACTAATTTCCCGCTTCATACGTTTGTAACCAATGACACCCAATGGTGTGCAATCACCATACAACTAAATGATAATAAAATGAACCTGTTCTTTTCAGTCAAGCTAGTTATGAAAAAGCATCAACCCCAAATGGGAAAACCTCTGATCACAGACGTTCATATAAAATTATTTCAAAATTACGTAATGCAAATTTTGATATTTTTCCAGCCCTGACAGATCAAACTAATGGAACAGGAATTATCGTCTGGATAGTCGTACCTATTGCCTTGGTTATCATAGCAATTGTCATCGCCATTCTCATCTGTAAAATAAGGTCTGTAAGAAGGAAAAAGGGTAAGTGAACCTTGTCGTCTCAGGGTGGAGATTTAACTCATCATAACGGAGCTTTGGTTGTGTGATTTATTGTATTTAATGCCAGATGTCTATCATGATAAGTATAGAGTGAAAACTGCCATGTGCCAAACACAATATTAGTATCGCAGAATACTATGGCATTTAAATTAGTTGAATTATTTTGGGGTGTGTTTTAGAGAATTCATATTCAACTTTTGAAAGTTTTATTCAAATCCGCCTAGGCAGTTAATATATTTGGGACCAATTAAAGTGAATATAACTTTAAAAGTAGCCTCCCACAGTTAATGCAAATGCAAATGTTAATGTATTAGCCGTCAATGTTTTTCTCATTCCCAAAATGTTTCCATTCCTGGCTGTATAGATGGACCGAACACACAGATAGCAAACGCCGTCAGAATGGATGATATGAAGGTGAGCTACATCAGATTGGAAAATAAAGTAACTGATACCGTTGCAGACTAGCAGTGCGTATGAATTGACAAGAATCTTTGGAAGAACTTCATTTAAATAGATGAGGTCAGATAACGTTCCCTTTTCTTTCCTGTATATAACACACATGGCGATCGTGTCGTGTGCGAATGACTTTTGACCAGCATCTTCCGAGTACAAAGACTAACATACTAACAAGAAGTTGGAATGTGTAATACTAGAACATGCTTTGGGATATATACGGACGCTATCCGTGTTGTCACCATCCTACACACATTTTATTCACCCTACAACTACAAAACCATATGTTGTATACCTTAAAGGAGTAATTACCTTTTCTTTTGAATGTCTGTGTATTAGTAACTTGTGTTATGTAGTTAAATTTTTAATAGGTAACACTCAAAAAGACGTTTTTTCATCATCACAAGCGTACATTTTAGTTCAAATAAACAGAATTTCAGAATTGTTAATATATTCCATATTATAGAAGGACATATAAAAACGTTTATGAGCCCTTATTTTGGCAAAATTATTTGCTTTCAGCAATTATTTTCTACACCAAATATTTTACCAAAATTCAGGTTACTGAAGAATCTCCATACATAGATCTGCTTCAACGTGATGTAGAAATACCCAGAAGTAGTATCAAGATGTTACAACAAATCAGCAAAGGAGCCTTTGTCCTTGTCTTCAAAGGCAGTGTCTTCAACATGTACGAGAAAAAGAAGTGGACCACAGTTGCCATTAAAACAATTAAAGGTAATAGCTGCAATGTTGCCTTGGTGATAAGTCTTTTTTATTTATTTCTTGTCGTGTACTAATGGTACAGCAAACAACGATCTAATTATTTTCATTTTAGATGAAAAGGACGCAGTTGTTATCAGAGATCTGATGCATGAATTGAAAGTGATGATGGAGCTTTCCATTCACCCTAATGTGGTTTCTCTTCTTGGGTCTTGCACGCGGGACGGTGGTAAGTGTACAATCCCTTGAAAATATCAACTTTTTAACGGTATACTTTTGACCCTGGGTCGCATATTTAATAAGCTAACCTTTATTTCTGATATATATATATATATATATATATATATATATATATATATATATATATATATATATATATTAGGCTGGCTGGTTGAATTTGACCATACTCTTCTAGTCAGTTCTGTACTATTTTACATTTTACCATTTTACAGCTCTTAGCTGTATTAGATGTGGAACTTTCAGACGAGACAAGTGCCTTAATTGTTTCTCTTGGTCTAGATGCAGTTTTGCATGTTAGGATCAACTGCAAACATAAAGAATTAAGAATGGATTATATTCTTGATTTGTTTACCGAATAGTATGAATAGTTCTGATGCAGGTATCGGGGTTTTGTTAAAGGTTTGTCAAAAAGGTTGTCCCAACCCCAATTCCATATGTTTTTATCTACAAATAGTCATCTCACAGGTGTAAATTGTTATAAAATATGCTTTTTATTCCAGATTCCATATCTGACATGATAAATGGTGCAGAATATACAAAATAACGGTGAAAAAAATCCACACATTATACCATTTATTCAATTTTATAACATGTACCCCCTCGAATCCGGTATTTCACTGAGATCCCACAGAGCTAAAGGAATGTTCATTGAATTGATAAGTCACTACCAAATATCACCAAATTTACACGCAATTACCATTAGGGTATGCTCATTGTAGGTCACGTGTCTAATTGCGTGCGTTTATACCGCGTGCAGCAATTATCTCCTGTAGGCGGTGCTTTTTGCCTTCACAAAGGTAATAAATCTGTTTTGTGGGATATTGTCCCGATTTTTCTAAAGAATTTGGCAAAGTTGGTCCAGATTTTTAGGAGGTTGGTGCTCCTCTGCATTGCACCCTCCAATCCATGCCACTGGTGCTCAGTGGGAAGAATATCAGGACTCAAAGATGGTTGTTCCATCCTCAGTGTTTCTGCAACAAATGACTCACCAGAAGGGAACTGTGAACAAGTGCGTTGTCACGATGTAGTCAGTACCAGCCCTGAAGTCATTTCTTGCAAATGGAGTGAGATATCTGTTGAAAATGTTACAGCAAAATGCCCCAGTAACTTTCAGTGCCGGAAGGAACAATGTACTAATACCAATATAGGCTTGGAATGCTCTCCACACGCAAACTGATCTGACACCTCAGGCGACATTATCCTGCACACACCTTTCCAGGAGGCACCCTGCAACATATGTATGGACCCTCATTTGACCATATATAGGATATAATTAATACCTTGATCCTTCAGCAAAAACCAGCTTTCTTCCTGTGATGGTTGACCAGGTTTCGTTGCGTCTGGGATCACTGGACGCAACATTTTCAGCTCATATTTCACTCCATCTGCACTAGCTGACTTCAGGGTTAACTGCAGGCCTCATCATGAGAGCGCACTTACTCACAGATCTCATCTGGCAAGTGTTTTGTTGCAGAAGCACAATGTTCTAATATAGCTTTTAGCCCTGAGCACCTGTGGCATGAATCGGAGTGTGCAATGCACACACGCTATTAGACACGCGACCTTTAACGAGAACCTCCTAATACTAAATTTGGTGACATTCAGTGGCGTTTTTTTTTTTTTTTTTTTTTTTTTTTTTGAAATCTAATGTACATCTTTGTGGAAATCACAGTGAAACATTGGTCTTGAGGGGATATAAATTTGAATAAATGGCATAAAATATGAATATCTTCACCACATTTTTTTTTTTTTTTTTTTTTTTTTTTTTTTTGCTGAACGATTTATCATGTTGGATATGGTATCTGAAATAAAAAGCACTGTTTATAACAAATTACACTTGTGAGGTGATCATTTGTAAATAAAAGCACATGGTGTTGGGGTGGGCCTATGTTGTGTATATGAAACATGTTATTTGTTTGCATATTATAGGAGTTCCTATGGTAATCACGGAGTACCTGTCAAACGGAGATCTACAGACATTTTTACGAAATGATCGCTCACAAAACAAAACGGTTTATAATAATTTACATGGCAACAGTATGTCCTTGACGTCACGTGACCTGATGAAATTCGCCTTAGACGTAGCACGTGGCATGTCATACTTGTCTTCATCGGCAGTGAGTACGCTACAATTTCTTTTGTCTAATATATTTAATTTGTGTCTGTTAAGTTATTTATTAAGTTAATTATTTCTGAACATTTAAAAGAAGTTTTTTATTTATATGCATTTTCTAGTAATATAATTGTTTTAATCACTTTTTGTTCTAGGTTATGCTATATCACGAATAAGAAATGTCTTCATTTATTATGAGGTTTTTGGGTGTAATTGCTCGACAGTCAGTTGATTTATATTACAATAGTGGATACATTATATTACATGTCTTTGAATATACTTAATCAATTTCAATATCCTCAGATTCTCCACCGAGATCTCGCTGCCAGGAACGTTTTGGTGTCTGAAGACAAGACGTGCAAGATTACGAACTTTGGCTTTGCCAAGGATGTGATTGAAAGCCATCAGTATGAAAGAAATTCGGAGGTATTTTCAGTGATATATTTTCTTTTAAAACCGTTTTCAAAGACACTGCAAATTATTAATCAGTTAGTACAAGTGAATATGCAGTACTTCCTAAAAGTATGCTTACGGTCAATTAGTTATATTGATGAATGGATTCATACAGGTTCCCGCCTCTCGTCTGTTAATCAACATATCATAATGTTTCATTTTTCTTATTCTCCTAGGGCCGTTTGCCAGTTCGCTGGATGTCCCCTGAAGCTCTGCATGACAACATATTTACCACACAGTCTGATGTCTGGGCGTATGGTGTACTGCTCTGGGAGATTGTCACACTGGGTGAGAATGGTTCTTTTTTGCCTGAACAAAAGGATATTTTTTTGGAAAATTAAATCTGACAAAAGCCACACGTGAAACTCGTTGAGAGCTGGATTAAAAATAGACAGACAAACATAGTATATTTCAGGATATCCATATTACAGGTTCCAGTCCCTACCCCGGTATGTCAGCCAGGCAGGTGATTGAAGCTGTAACTGAAGGTTACCGGATGCCACAACCACCACACTGTTCACAGGACATGTAAGTATATACGCAGTATATCATACAGTCTATATCTCAGTATGTCAGCCAAGCAGGTTATGGTGGCTATAACTGAGGGATACCGGATGCCACAACCACCGCACTGTTCACAGGATATGTACTGTGAGTATATACACACGCAAGTATACAGGTAGTGCACAGTCCCATACCTTTGTTAATGTGTGTTTTCAAGCAGAATATGGAAGTAACGGATACTAACTATACATTAACCACACTGCGGACACCATTCACAGTACGTATATGTGAAGTTTCAGTATATATATGCACAGCCAAGTAGTTCATGGAAAGTGCGCATGTGTAACGTACAAAAGTAGTGCTGATCAGTGAAGTTTGGTATCAAACAGTCAATCTATGTGTGGATTGTTTTACTACATGTATGTGTAGTCAATATTTGATACAGCATGAATTGCCAAAACAAGAGCCATCAGATCCTTGTACAATGCACATCGCAATTCTGTGTGTTATTCATACATTTGTACATGTTTTAACTGCATAGATTTAAGTGACACATATAATTCCCTTTCAGGTACAGTATAATGCTGTCTTGCTGGGAGGTAAACCCGCGCTCAAGACCGACGTTTCAATCCCTTGCAGACACACTGAACCACTTGTTGTCCGCAAATTACGAGGTTTTGTTTCTGGGGAAATTTGAAGAGAGGCTCTACGAAGAACTTGACCATTGCAAACCTGACGAAAAATGCTAAGAAATGTATTTTCTTGTTATTTTAACTAGCACAATTAACCCGACAAGTAATCTGCGCGTGTAGGAGATGTACCACAAAAGCCTACAAGTATGTCTTTTTTCCTCGAAATAATTTAAAATTATACATGTAGCGCGCTACTAAACAATTATTAGGGGCTGTGTGGTGAAAATAGGAGTTGCGTGGACAGAATGAATTTTCAAATGGTGAAAATAATGGGGCGGTTATTGAGCACAATTGTTCATATTTGTTATAGAAGCATTGATTGCATTTTGTCAGATTGCTTTTAACGCTGATAGTAGTATTTTTGAATATGACACCAGCACCTGGTGACGTCCGCTCACAATTTGTGTTCCAAAAAGTCCGCCAAAAGAATATCTGGCCACATAAATAGTGATGTGATATAAGATCGTATATGCTAGTGATATGAAATCATATCATATATGATAGAGTGTGCATTCCAATGGTAATTGGCGGCCATCTTGGAAAAACCGCGACTAAATGTCACCATGTCCTGATCTGGTGTCTTATCCAAAAAATACATGTTCCCCATTCTGGGATTCTTAGACTTTAAGGGAATGTTCGGTTTTTTATCTACCTGTACAAATAGCTCAACTAAAAGTTGGACTACAAGCTATCCTCGCTAGTTTCGCCATCTTGATGTCGAGGTTATATTAAACACGAAGCCCACACAGGTTTAGCGGTGTCCATGGTTTAACATTGCCTGCAGTTATGCGCGTTTAATATTAATTATTTTGCGTCGATGTTCGTTTCCCTACTATTGCCTCTAGCTGGGAACTGCCCTCACTGTTCCAATAAGTCCCCTCAGGACTGTGTACTTTGTGTTTAATATTCACGCCTGGTGGGCAGTGCAATTTCATCAAATTCAGCAGTTTTTATTATCCTTGTGTCCCAACACTAAGGGCAGCCGGCGAGTAGAACATATCCCTTTCCACGATGCTGACCAAACGTGCCGCACGTATCGTGAAAACTGTGACTGTCACTGCGACCATAGGCTTTCTGTGTTGTCTCATATGTATATCTAAAGACAGTGATACACCTTCAAGATATTGGCCTGGCTTGAGTAACGGATCAGCCGGAAAAAAACTATCGGCTTGGGCATCAGTTCCAGACTTTGTGCTTATGGTTAGGACTTTTTCGAAAATGTTGCCGTACTATGATGGCATGCTTGTTGAGAGCATGCGGCTTTTTTGGCCGGATGAGATAAAACTGGTTGTTGTTCTGGACAATGAATCGTCACAAGATCACATAGTGGGAGCTGAAATTGCCAAGCGCTATCCGTACCCAAGTGTGCACTTTGAAAAGCCAGCACCTCATGTTTATTGTAACTCGGGATATGATCGGCAGCAGTGGTCAAACTTTTACCCCGAGAACTACACCGATGCTGAGTACGTTGGCATTGTTGACACTGACACGTTATTCGTTACCATGGTGACACCAGAATTGCTTTTTGAAAATGGCAAACCAGTCGTCATTGGGTTAATCGGCAAACAAACATACTATGTCTATCAACAATTCGCTATGGCAACGGAGAAGTTATTTGGGACGCCAGAGGTTTTTCGTTGCATGGTGTATTTCCCAGTTCTTATTAAAGTGAGGCATATAATCGAAGCGCGACACTATTTGGAGAAAAGATACAATAAATCGTTTGATGATATATAGGCCTACAGAGAGAATATCTGTCACAAAATCGTTGCATCACAATTTCATATTATGTGCCAGTACATATACCTCTTCCACCGTAACGAGTACAGATTTTATCTGCAGAGTTATCCACGTGGCAATCTCTCTGAAACAGAAGGCAGTGTCACTGGAAGAGTGCCATATAGTTACTACAAGGAACATTTCACTCCAGACGAAATGAAGCCCTTCCCAAGGGTGGCTATACATGGTCGTCACCATAATCCCCCGTATAGTGCCTTAGGTATGAAAATTTTTTTTGTCAAGTATGATGCAATATTACATAATAATTTACATCACAATCGACACCAAATTTTAATTATCTACTATACGAAACATGGGCATTCAGAAAATGAAACTACCTACTGCTCGTGGGAGTTCAAGTTCCACATTGAAAATACAAATGTGAAAAATTAAGATATCACAAAAACATCCTAACAACTGGAAAAAGAGTCTAATCAAGCTGGTTTTCCTATTCAAGCTGTATTTTTGGGCCTATGAATCTTTTCGTTTAGTTTGAGAATCACTAGACTAGTAATATCGTTTTCCGTAAATGCTCACTATGGCGGCAGTGCCCAAGATAGGGGTTTCTTCAGTTTTGATATGCAATGTTACATAATGCTTAACAACATAATCACCACCATTTTTTAATCATGCACTGCAGGTAACACAGATACACATCTGTGTCTGTGCATAAAAAATGAAAACTAGTATACCAATAAGCTATGGGAAAAGTTTCAATTCTATTAAAATGACACCTATAATACTCCACAAACGTTAGCTTTGAAAGCATTTATGCACACAATTTTCCCTGACAACTCAAAAAAGTTGAAATATTTTATTACAATTACTAACTGAATCAAATTGGATACCATCTGAAAGGCATGGTTACAATACAGTTCACGATGGTGAAATAATAGAGTCAGTTCTAATGGCGTGTAGAGATCAGCTTTATAATGTCCTAAAATCACAAGGTGTGCAGTCAAATTGATATGTTTGTCGTTGCTTTGCTTCCTTTGCCGTCTTTACCTCTGCCAAGGAGCCCTTAGCAGAATGAAGCGTTTGCAGCAAATATACAGCAAATTTGCTGCAAACTAAAAGTTTGCGACCAGGAGTTTGCGGAGGTTTGCAAGAAAAATTAGTATGGCTGCTAATTTGCAGAATTTTTGAAAGAACATCTGTTTGTGGCACGTTTGCAATTTTTTTATTGCAAATTTGCAGTATACTTAGAATTTATAAATTTGCAAGAACTTCTCAAGTTTGCAGTAAGTTTGCAAGAAACTATTCATGTTCTTGAATATAATCAGCAAATTTGTGGCATATTTGCAGCAAGTTCGTTAGAGAGTTTGCGGCAAGCCTGATATTTTGCTAAGGAAAGCAATATTTATTTTTGTTTCTCTGCCTGTCTGCCAGCCTGTCTGTCTGTCTGTCTGTCTGTCATGCAAACGATTGTAGGCGGATTTTATTATTTCAAGGACTTGTAGGAAAAGGAGCGAGTGACCAACAGTTAGTAAACAACATTATTTTAAAAAAATATGAAGAGATTTTTAAGAACTTTTAGGACAGATCTGAAATGGGCTAGTCTTTAATTATTAATTGACGAATTAATTGATTAATTATGGGAATTGAATTTACATTTGTAAATGACGATGAGAATTTGGCTGCGTTGGCGGAGATTTGTGGTCTCTTAGTGCTTCTGTATTTTAGATTGTCATTTCTCTTTTTATCTATCAGAAATATTTGTGACAAGATATCTTATATTACCTCTCTCTCTCTCTCTCTCTCATATATATACACACATTATATTTTGATGGTATTGCACTATGATGGACGTACCTTTTCCCTTTTAGCTAAACAAAGTAAAAAGAAATTTGGCTCCATACTCTTATCCAACATGGCATTAATGGAAGGACTATGTTATTCGGGCGGCTTCAATTCATGCCCTGCTGAATGCTCGAGCTTCAACCGGAGCAAACTCCATCTAGATCTCTTTAAATTTTCTAAAGCCAATTGGAGCTGGGATAACCGTTGCATTGATGTTCAAAAGAAACATTATTCCAATCTTGAAAGGTACAAAAAAACGTACGGATCTAGCAAGAACTGCCTGGGAGGGAACTGTTTCAAAGAAGCCTGTCGACGTATTTATAACAAGTGCGTTTAGTTTTAGTGAAGAAATGAAAAGAGATCAGAAACTGTTACATATAAAAATATGTAAGTCGTCGTATGTGTTGAGTATATTGCGTTTTATTAATTTGTCTCTTTGGTCCCACTTAGAATGGATGGTCCGAATACTTACTGATCCGCCGACTAAATATGGCCGATCACAGTTCAAAAGCAATGCCGCTGATTCCTGATGGTCTCTCCGACTCCACACGCGCCTTTAAACAGATTAAATCTCTGCCTCAAGGTTGAACTACTAGGACCCTGCAGCGACGGCGCGTTTGGAGTCGGAGAGACCATCAGAAATCAACAGCATCGCTTTTGAACTGTGGTCGGCCACATTTAGTCGGCGGATCAGTAGGCCTATGTAGACCTACTCGGATCATCCATTCTAAATGGGACCTTTGAATATGACCTCCAACATACACTGCACACGGGCGGATCCGGGATTATTTGAAGGAGGGAGGGGTGTAGTTTCATTTTAGGGATGACAGCAGCCTCCCCCCCCCCCTCTAAATCCGCTATTGCATGATTCGAGTCTTTTCACCCGGAATACGATCTACCTATTTAATGGCACGTGATAAAAAGATACTGCTAACTGCTACGTATCCTAAGAACAATTTTCTGTTGACCTTAACTTTTCTATAACAGTATATATATTCAGAGTAAGGAAAATACAAAGGGAGAAAAAAGGAAAAAAAAATTTTTTCATAAATATGATATGGTAGATTATGAACTGAATAATACTAATATTCTGATACAGCATTTAGAGTGAAAGAATCATACTATATTGTAAGTGAATTTAACTGCTAGTAATATGCCCAAAACCTTTGGGCCATTAAGCACGATTGGTTAATTGTCTGGTTAAGTAGTTTTCACTTGTATGTTGCTTGTACCAAACTTGAAGTAACGTATACATGGCCGCGAGCAAAGGGCTCTGTAACTTGTATGGCCGAGTCTGAACATATGCATACATTTTTATGGGACAAATGGCTCTATTGTTGTTCTATGTTATTTTTCCACTTTTATGATCACTGTAAAATTATCAACAATGTACATGGGCTTAAGGGATATAGCAGGGACAAGAATAAAACAATAAGGGCAATGAAACGTGTCTTTTTTTTTTCTTTCCTGATTTTTAAATGCAAAATTTCTTCGAACACCATTATTGGCTTTATTCAAAAGCATGCAATCAGGCAGTCAGAACGTTTCCAACTTGTTCAATAATTGAAGCCCACATCATCAAGTTTTGGAAAAATACACTTAACATGGCTGATGGTCTCTTGGCTAACCAAATGTACTTAGATAAATCAAAAGAAAGAAAACAGTGTTTTCCTACTCAAGAATAATTTTTTTAACCATCCCAGTTTATGGATTCGATCTTTTATGCCTTTTCTAAAGAAAGGGACTCTTCGTACATGTGTGGAATTCAAAATTCCACATTAAACGCATTGAAAACAACACACAGAAATACCTTAATTTTTTTCGAAACAAATCTGAACAGCCAAAGACTTTGGGGAGAGAGCTTCAGTCTATACCTACCAAATAAGTTTCATCTCTAAAAATATACGTGTACACTTGGACAAATAAAACGATTTGTCCAAAATGTATATAGGATGAGGGAAAAAAAAGGAAGGCAGCATTCTCATTACAAACCGCAGTCAGGTAAGTTTGATTGATGTTTTATTCAAAATCTCCATAAAAAATAATGATAAATGAAAGACGGTCCTTTAAACAACAAAAATCTTATCTTATAGCAAATGTATCAAGATCTTTGACTTTATCAGTGAAATCATTTGTTATTTAACCTTCAGAAATGTTCGATCAAATTTGAACTTGAACTAGAAGCACCTGTGACTGTTTCCTCTGGTCTTTTCTTTGGATATATTTGTACTTTGTCTGTTTTTGAAGGCAATGTACTTCCCTCAGCTTCTGTTGACCTTTTCTTTTCATAACACTTTACACTGTCTCTACCTGAAAAAGATGCACTTCCCACAATTCCTGCAGGTCTTTTCCTATGATAAGGTTTAACCATGTTTGAATTTATTGAAAAAACACTACCTCCATTCTTTGTACTGAAAATTTCACTCTGGTGTGCTTTAAGTCTCTGACCAGAATTTGAAGATAAAGCTGCAGAAATACTCTCAGTTTGTATCAGCTTGTGTTTATTATTATTATCCACTGTCAAATCAAAATTACTAGAACCTCCTAGAAAGTGTGTTGTAACCCCTATTTCATTTGACGCTGTAAATTCACCGCTCCCTCGTGACTGCAACCCACCCATCCCAAAAGAATGTGTCACCTCTGGCACAGGGCGCTGATGAAATCTTATATCTTCTGGTCCTGTGTCAATATTAGTTGGTATATATCCGCTGTAGGATGGAGAGGGCATTCCCACATCAGTGACATTTGGACGTTTTCTCTGGTAAGGTTTTATACTTTTCACGGGAACTGATAATTCGACAGATGGGTAAGGTCTGGAAAACCCTTGTTTTGACTTTCTCAGAAACTGATATCTGCAAGAAAATATATGAAGCAACCTGCACTGACTAAGCCATGTAAAATAATTATGTAAATTTCACATTATTTTCAGTTACTTTGCCTTCAGTGTTATTTTGAAATTTTACTAAAATTCTGTATATCATATGCTTGCTTAGGAATCAACAACACTAAATCTCAAAAGAAAAATAATGACAAAACACTTATATAACCTGAAAAGCACCTACAACTATACTTACAATTAAAATGTTTAAACCCATTCTCTTGTACTAATAAACGATGGCTTTTAATTATTATATATTTTTAATTTGGGTGAATAAAATACTTATATGAAAGATGATGTAAAAGGTATTTAAATCCATATTGTGATTTACAACATATTCCAATATTGGGAAGGACTGTTTATAAACTTCACAAACGAACAATTTGTAAACACCAACTTTAATATGACCTATTTTTTAAGTCACTGTTTCAAAGTTTAGAGAAAGCATTATATTTTCAATATAAGTAATGTGAACTTAACAAGGTCAAATAAAACCAATTTTACTGACTTCTGATTGGCTCTCCTCTGGTGGTGCCACACTCCGCCAAAAGATGGCAGCCAAGTGGCTCCACCTTGTGACAAAGACTCTTGCTTGAAATTGGCCCCAACACGCTTCGCTGGAAGTTTCTTTTTCTGTTCAGCTTCCACTGAAATAGTGGTACATAACATTTGAAAATTTCTAACAACCAAACTTGAATGTACAGTAAATGTTTACACTTCAAGTTCCTCCGTGTCCCTTGAGCAAGTACCTCAAACTGCTGTTTATTGAGACAAATCAAAGTTGATGTATCAGAGAGAGAGAGAGAGAAAGAGGGAGAGAGAGAGTTTTATCAAAGATGAGTGATAAGATCTCCTCAGTTTTATCCACTGTCTACTTTTTATGATCATAAGAAATGTCTGTGCACAGCCATCAGATGATGGCACAATCACCACAGGGACACAAAATCCAGTTACTTATTTCCACTTTTCCCATGACCTAGAATACCACGGTCTGTGTCCAACTGAGGTACTAATACTAAAATATTCCAGTGTATTTACTCACAATGTTTCTGAAGATCCTCAACTGTGGGGCCAATGTCTTTATCCTGTCTCTCTCCAGAGACTGGCCTCAGCCAAGGGGGTGTGGAGCCCTTGAAGATGTTACCAACGTCTGGGTCATATTGCTGTGAATAGCAAAAATACACCAGGAAAAGGACAGAAACAGTTAACCAGGCTTACAAAATCCACCATTACTTAATGGTAATACAGTCATAGTTAACATTAGAGATGTGATTTTTGGGGGGTGGGGTGGCTGAACACTGACAATTAATTTTTTAATGTTTAAAAGTGGAAATAAAGTTGTAGTTAACATCAGGGATGTGACTTGTGTGTGTGTTAGTGTGTGTGTGGGGGAGGGGGGGAGGGAATGAAAATTATCCTGCTCAAACTTAAAACCAAATGTTCAAAAAATGGAATTCTGGGGAAAAAAGAAATATCACATCTCTGTAACATGCTTTGAAAAATAAATAAAAGAAATCTAAATAAAAAATGAGAAAAAAATTAATTTATACAAAACCAACCAATAACCCTTATACCTTAAGTTTGACTGTCTCCAAGCCTTCCCCAAAGGCAGATTCAGTTCGCACGTCCTTAGGCAGCAAACCTGTGGGGTCTTCATATCTAGGCTGGGGTGTCTTGAACAAAGCGCCCTCTACAGAATCTGAGTACTTTTTTGTCTGCCAAACATTCAGGAAAAGTGTAACCACAAGGAATCTTGCAGAACATTGACCAAAACACTGCATCTTAAGTTTGACATTCATTTTTTTTTTTTTTTTTTACATTTTTGGGGAGAATTTCTATGCCAGTAAATACATTTTACATGCAATTATTCATTTTTAAGTGATTAAATAAATTCATCAAATATGTTACAGAACATATCTGGGAAATTTTCAATAATAATCTTCAAGTCTGTGATACATGAAATGTATTAATTACCATTAAATTACTATACAGAAGTCATAAAATATAAATAAATCATTGAAAAGTTAAATAAAACAGATTATTCTTTTATCATATGCCATTTAGAATTTTAACAGTGAGTGTTTTGATAAACATTAACGTGGATACATCAAACCCTACAAGCTATCCCATCAGCCAACAGACCTCCTTATGGCGTAACTCCTGCTGGATAATGTATGTACGCTCATTCTCCCTCTGTCGGAGTTTAAGCATTTCCTAAAAAAGATATTTCTCATCTCATATTGAAAACTACCATATAGTTGAATTCTTTCTTTCTTTTTTTTTTTTTTTTTTTTTTTGTTTTGCTTTAGATTCACTGCTTAGTTTTTTCAGAAAAAAATTATCAAACAATAATTTAATATGCATTAATAACCTTCAGATTGTTAACTCCTTTATTTCTGAACTTACTTATATCAAACAAATATTTATCAGTAAATTTCAGATTCTTAACTTATTTCTTATTTGTAAACTTATTTCTTAATAAAAGAATAATAAGTATATAAATCTGTTCATTTCTTCTTGCCAACAGATACTAGTACTCTTTTTATGGTTTTATGGACTAAATACATGTTCAGACTTGACGTACCTTTTCCCTCTCTCTTCTCTGCTCCTCTACGTAGTCCTTCACAGCTTGCTCAGCCTTGACTTGAAATCTGAAATAATTTATAAATTCCAAACTATCAGTCCTAAAAAAAATTCAATTTGGTGAAAAACTTAATTCAACCAGAAGAAAACAATTCCAGATCACATTTCAGAAAAAAATTATCAAATGTTATTCTACAATACCTTAGTGTCAAAGAAAATTGTGTATTATATATATAATTATTAAAGCTGGATGCTTACCTTGCAAAGTCCTCCATGCTGAGAATAAAGTTCTCCTTCCTGGATTTCTCAACTTTGTTCTCATAGAAAAAGTGATGCATATTCTTGATGTGTGAAGCACTGGAATGATGGCAGAAAAAATTAAAACAAAGGCCATGTTACACCTTTCACAACCCCATTCCCTGATGCAGTCCGACTATAAATTGATAAAATCTTCAGCTGGTAAAATAGCAGTTTATTTATCATAACCATATAGACAAATGCCTTGAATTAATGCTACAAAAATTGAATCCCCCGCCCGCCTTTCTCCTGCAAATCTCAACACTTGTCCACCTTTTCAACATAGTCTGTAATTGCACAGAACCCAGAAGTCATGTAAGAATTGAACTCAAAGAGGTATGGCAAAATTAGAAAAACACTGCTTAAGCACAAGTCAAGAATTTTTTCATGTTGAAATTCAGATTGTTCAAGTTCTGGGGAGTGTCAAGAAGGATCATAGGTTGCTTTGTCAGAAAAAAAATACTTACTGCCCTAGATAAAATGATTTAGGATAATCTTTCATTTGTGTGCTTGTTTGTTTGTTTCAGGAAAATCCTTCGCTTTTCACCAAAGTATAGCAAACTTGTTACCCCTTGTCTTGTACACATTATTTGGGAAACATACTATTATTTCATAAATTTGTTCAAACTTAATGGACCAGTATCATACCTAAGAAAGTGTTGGATAAAGCCTCCATATTCCACAGTGCCTTCTTCAGTCCTGGTATGCTTCTCCACATCTTCGGCACAGAAATAACACCAAAATTTGGCCCCCATCTCCCAGGACAACTCGTGAGCCAGCGGGGTCTTCATGGCGTTTTTGGCCGCTTGGACCTGGTAAAAGTATTGGCAAAGTAAATAAATAATTATTAATTTTCTGTAGTCTACCTTTTTTTTCGACGGGATGTATTTATGTGTTAGTCAAACTAATTTGTACTAAAAGTTTCTGACAGATCATGAGTGCTAACGCATGAATTTTCGTGCTAATTCTGAGAAAAACTGAGACGGAGTGAAACTAGCAGAGTGGGGTTGTCAATGCGACTTATATCGAAAAACCAAAACTGCTTTAAAATATTATTTACCTTTTTGTAAAATTTATCAACAATGTTCTTGACAATCCCCCGGTGGCCTTTTGAAAACACATGCTTCTTGCCTTGCTGGTGGTTTTGTCTACAAATAGAGCAGTAAGTAAACTGTATGAAAGATGTGGACATCACTCTGGCCTCGAACTGAATGTAGCGCGGTTTTTAATCTCTAAACCATATAGAACTATTCATTTTATGGATTAATCCTCTTGTTTTTCTTTTTTTCTTGGCCAAGATAAACAAAAGATTACCTTTTCATTCTTTACATAGGAGCGTTTCATAAAGATATACGTACAATTTAAAACTATCTGAGGACATCGCATTGAGAGTATGAGAAATTCCCAAGATGGCTGCTTCCATGCAACTCCAACCTGCGGAGGTGTATTTTGCCCAAAAATTAGCCGCCAATGAAAAGAAAATTCGCGATCGAGCTGTGAAAAAGCTGAGAAAGTACATATCCGTGAGATCACAGTCAGGTATGACCATGTTTGTTGTCAAAATGCTAAGAAATTGACCGGCAATTGAGTCACAGGTGACTCTAGTAGGCTCCCACGTGGGAGTCTGTTTTAAAGAGTCTGTGAGAACTGTTACGAAGGGGCCGTAGCAATAGGCCGAAGGTTCAATAGTCCGACGGTTCATTGGTCCGAATATTCACTATAGAACCTTCGGACCAATGAACCCTTGATTAAAAAATCGATGAAAATGTTACCACTTTTCGGACCAATGAATCTTCGGACCAATGAACCTTCGGACTATCGAGACGCCCCCGTTACGAATACGAGTTTTCAAGTGGCCATAACTGTAAAGAAAACTTGAAATAAAAAAGAAAGAATGATGAAATTCACCATGCTTAGTTCACTCTTTAATTTGCCTAATAAATCTAAGATACTGGTGAACCCGGCAAAACATGTTATTAATTCAAAATAAAGATTGAAATAAAGGTGGTAAGTTTACCAATTAATATTACTGGAGTCATTGATGGCACGATAATGCGATATCAAATATCACTGACTTATTTTTGTTGCAGTTGGATTCTCTGAAGATGACATGTTGAAGATATGGAAAGGTTTACACTACTGCATGTGGATGTGTGACAAGCCATTGGTGCAGGTGAGAATAGAAAGCATCAACAGGGTGCAGAACAAAATAAGTTTTTGCTTCTGATCAATATTCATAAAAAAAATACACCTTTATTGACGGTAAAAGAAAAATAAGGATAGGTCTCTTGAAGCTACTAGTATCATCAACACCAACTGTTTCTTTGTTCTTCAGATTTTATATCTACATATATTACAAAGAAAACATTGCTTCCGAAGTTAACATTTCACCTTGAACCATTTCCCAGGAAACTATTTTGTTAATTTTCTGTCATCCAGGAGGACCTGGCGGACACCCTGTCCAACCTCCTCCAGTGCTTCGACAACAATGCTCAGGCCTTCCTGTTCATAGACGCCTTCTTCCAAACACAGTGCAGGGAGTGGTTTGGAATAGATAGGTTGAGACTGGATAAATTTATGATGGTGAGAATATTGCAGTGTCAACTATTGAGATACCACTGTATGTTTTTCTTTATTTGAAAATGAAAGTCTGCAATGTTAATTAACACAAATGCCAGTGAAATTGAGGGCAAGCACATGAATTTTTTTAATTTGTTCAGTTACTGGCCACTTTTTCTACTTTGAACCAATAGGCTTAAGTTTTTTTTTCCACGTGTTGAAATAAGTAATTTCATGTTTTTTGTAATACTCAAGAAATCATTTTGCTAGTAAGAATCAAAATTAAGAACATAAACATGGTGCCAGGTAAAAAAAAGGTTTATCATCACATGATAAATGACTTGTTGACCTCAAATTTCATTCAATTTTATTTAAGCTTTTTTTGTCATGTAATCTGGTCACATGATTTAATCATGATCAAATTGGCATGACTTATAACAGTATTTTCTGTTCACCAGCTCATCAGACGGGTAATACACCAGTGTTTACTCATGTTGAAGATAAAGAAGTGGAAAGTGACTCTGGTGAAGCAGTTTCTTTCCATTCTGGAGAAGTATGTGATATCTGACAGCGACAATGCTGGCCCTGATGGCCTCAAGTTTCACTTGGCTGACATTTATCTGGATGAACTGTCCTCTGTGGGAATTGACAGTGTATGTATTGTATTGTATTTTTTAAATTGGACATAGATTTTCTCATACTATATTTTTCTTTGTGCGAGCAGATAATGTGTACACTGATATGTTATTCTTCAACTGGGCTAATATTTTCTCTTACAATGTTGCTCTTATCTGCCTTATTTTGATAATTGTGATGTCTCATTTACAGTTAAAACCAGACGTCCTTCAGATATTCCTGGAACCTTACTGCACCATGATGACTCGGTGTCAGAAGTAGGTGTTCAGATTTACATTGGCCAATTCTTAGTAAAATATTCAATATCCGCAAAAATCTGTTTTGACTTTGTAGGCTGCTAGACTGAAATCAGTAATTACATCATTTTCCAAAATTTTAAAATGCATTTTTATATACCAGGAATTCATGTCATCCATGAGCTGATATTTCCAGATAAACTAACTTTTACACATGAGCAGCAAAAAGTGACAAAACAATTAAAAAAGGTTCAGTCATTTTCTTTTGTACAAGAATTAATTTTTCCTCTCCTTGTCAAAGAAATATGCAGAAGTGTTTTAATGCCACTTGTAGAAAAAAATGTTCAAAGTTTCTTGTTATCTCCAGCAAGCACCTGGTCAGCCACGTGGTCAACAGGATCTTTAAAAACATCATTGACCAGTCTGATGTTGGAAAAGATGAGGAGGAGGACGTCAGTGAGGATGAGGGTGAAGAAGAGAACCAGGATACTGACAAAGCACCTAAGCTGCAGGTGAAGAGATAATGTTTAATTTTGATTATTTTAAAATTTACCCACATAAGAGGGTTTTCACCCATCTGTGGCGTAGTATTTCCAAACTAATATTCCATTATTAAATTTGTGCCATATGTGTGTGTGTGCACATAGTCATATGTGTACGTGCTTGAGAAAATGAATGTGAGATCCAAGATTATTATAAAGGTATATCACACCTAAGTTTTCCTTTTTCCTTTCAGTTTGATTACACAACAATTGCTGACAAACTCTTTGATCTAGCCAAAGGGAACAATTGTCTCTCTAGGAATAGGCCAGCCATATATGACCTGGTCAAAAGGTAATCAATGACTTAAGTTATTAGTTGTAGTATAAATAACCACTTAGTAGTATTATTACAATAATATTAGTTCCATATACTGGATGTATCTCAAAACAAGCGCTTAATTTTTTGTGATCAACAAGCATAATTTTTATACTTTTCTTGGAAAGACTGTTTTATGACCAAAAAAATGTCATGTTATGTAAACTTAACCTGTCAATAATATTAATGAGAAATGCTAAATAAATACGAAAACAGTAAAATATTTACACATATAAGTCATCATTAACACATTAACTGGGTCTCGTGTTTTAGATTCAAAGACCTGGCAGCAGGTATTTTCCCTTCTGATGATATCATAGGGTCATCTGATGAAGACGATCCAATCAGCAATGCAGATTTCAACATGGCTGTTCAGAGACTGCGGAAGGTTGAGAAGATGGGGATCAAAAAGAAGAAGACAAAAAAGAAGAGAAAATTAGAAGAAACTCATGAAGGAAGTGAAGGTATGTCGTTGTNTGACCGAGTCTGAACATATGCATACATTTTTATGGGACAAATGGCTCTATTGTTGTTCTATATTATTTTTCCACTTTTATGATCACTATAAAATTATCAACAATGTACATGGGCTTAAGGGATTTAGCAGGGACAAGAATAAAACAATAAGGGCAATGAAACGTGTCTTTTTTTTTTTTTTTCTTTCCTGATTTTTAAATGCAAAATTTCTTCGAACACCATTATTGGCTTTATTCAAAAGCATGCAATCAGGCAGTCAGAGCGTTTCCAACTTGTTTAATAATTGAAGCCCACATCATCAAATTTTGGAAAAATACACTTAACATGGCTGATGGTCTCTTGGCTAACCAAATGTACTTAGATAAATCAAAAGAAAGAAAACAGTGTTTTCCTACTCAAGAATAATTTTTTTAACCATCCCAGTTTATGGATTCGATCTTTTATGCCTTTTCTAAAGAAAGCGACTCTTCCTACATGTATGGAATTCAAAATTCCACATTAAATACATTGTAAACAACACACAGAAATACCTTAATTTTCTTCAAAACAAATCTGAACAGCCAAAGACTTTGGGGAGAGAGCTTCAGTCTATACCTACCAAATAAGTTTCATCTCTAAAAATATACGCGTACACTTGGACAAATAAAACGATTTGTCCAAAATGTATACAAGATGAGGGGAAAAAGGAAGGCAGCATTCTCATTACAAATCACAGTCAGGTAAGTTTGATTGATGTTTTATTGAAAATCTCCATAAAAAATAATGATAAATTAAAGACGTTCCTTTAAACAACAAAAATCTTATTTTACAGCAAATGTATTGATCTTTGACTTTATCAGTGAAATCAGTTGTTATCTATCCTTCAGAAATGTTCGATCAAATTTGAACTTGAACTAGAAGCACCTGTGACTGTTTCCTCTGGTCTTTTCTTTGGATATATTTGTACTTTGTCTGTTTTTGAAGACAATGTACTTCCCTCAGCTTCTGTTGACCTTTTCTTTTCATAATACTTTGCACTGTCTCTACCTGAAAAAGATGCACTTCCCACAATTCCTGCAGGTCTTTTCCTATGATAAGGTTTAACCATGTTCGAATTTATTGAAAAAACACTACCTCCATTCTTTGTACTGAAAATTTCACTCTGGTGTGCTTTAAGTCTCTGATCAGAATTTGAAGATAAAGCTGCAGAAATACTCTCAGTTTGTATCAGCTTGCGTTTATTATTATTATCCACTGTCAAAGCAAAATTACTACAACCTCCTCGAAAGTCTGTTGAAACCCCTATTTCATTTGATGCTGTAAATTCACCGCTTCCTTGTGATTCCAACCCACCCATCCCAAGAGAATGTGTCACTTCTAGCACAGGTCGCTGATGAAATCTTACATCTTTTGGTCCTGTGTCAATATAAGTTGGTATATATCCGCTGTAAGAT